GGACTAACCCGCCAGGGCTGCATAGCGCCGATACGGCCGTATTGTAGCGTTATGAAATATTGGTTCACACTCAGGATGGGTTGGAGAAAGGAAACTCACAATGAGCTCTCTGTATACATATTGTATTGGATGTACAATGCAGCTTGGTGCTGGGTAGGCAGCATGGTTACAAGCATTGAGTAGAGAGAGCTGGTTGGTGAGGGTATGGGGTTATGTGATATTGGTTCACACTCAGGATGGGATGGAGAAAGGAAACTCACAATGTGCTCTCTGTATACATATTGTATTGGATGTATAATGCAGCTTGGCGCTGGGAAGGCAGCATGGTTACAAGCGTTGAGTAGAGAGAGCTGGTTGGTGAGGGTGCTCAGAGGAGGATCAGCTTGTGGGTCGCCAGGCAGGAGTGGAGGAGGTGTTGCTTGCTGGTGGCTGTAGGTAGAAAGAGAGATGTCACCACGAGGTGAGGTTTTATATAGCGGGGGTAGGCGTGGCTTAATAGTTGACCTCAGTCATGTAAGGCGGCGCTGGTTACTGACCTAGACACGCGGGCAGGGTGGTGAAATCGTGGGTCAGCTAGTCAGCGACAAACAACGTTTGTAGGGGAGGAATCCACTACAAGGGAGCCCAGAGGAGGGCACGCAGCTTGAGGGACGCCAAGATCGGGAGTGGGAGCCGCCAGGCTGGAGCGGAGGAGGTGGTGTTGCTTGCTGGTGGCTGTAGGTATAAAGAGGGTGGTTACAGCAAGGTGAGGTCTTATAAGGCGTGGGTTGATAGTTGACCCCCGCTTCGTCAGGCGGCGCTGGAGGCGTAGGCTGGGGAATTCGAAAATGGTCGGCTACTCAGCGACAAACGGCGTTTGTAGGGGAGGAATCCACTACAATACTCCCCTACCCCTCCGGGCGCGGCTGGAGGTTGGCAGGGTTGCGTCCCACAAGTGATTCAAAGCCTGTGGGAGAATCAGGGGGAGAAGGAGGATTGTGGAGGTGAGGAATGTGGTGCTTCTCTCGCGGCAGGTACAGAGTCGTCAGTAGCGCCTGGTGGGGTGTGTGGGTCTGCGTCAGGAGCAGGGTCCGCGTCAGGAGCAGGGGCCGCGTCAGGAGCAGGGGCCGCATCAGGAAGAGCGGCGGGGGTACTGCTGGGCCGGGGGCAGCGTCTGAGGCAGGACGGGTGTGTTGGTGTTGGTAGGACGTGGTGCTTGGGGCAGGAAGAGGAGCGGCTGTCTGCTTTGAGTAGCACAGCTGCTCTAGGGTGTCTAACCTGTGGTGTAGACAGTAGTTGTAGAGCCGATGAGAGCTGCCTCTGCGTGGATAAGCCAGTCTTCCATGTTGCTTGAAGACTGGGAGAGTGATCAGTTTCTCCTCCATCCTGTGTGAGTGGTCACTCCAGGGTCACCATTTGTGGGGTTATGAGGTATTGGTTCACACTCAGGATGGGTTGGAGAAAGGAAACTCACAATGTGCTCTCTGTATACATATTGTATTGGATGTACAATGCAGCTTGGTGCAGGGTAGGCAGCATGGTTACAAGCGTTGAGTAGAGAGAGTGAGCTGGTTGGTGAGGGTGCCCAGAGGAGGGCACGCAGCTTGAGGGACGCCAAGGTCGCCGGCGGGAGTGGGAGCCGCCAGGCTGGAGCGGAGGAGGTGGTGTTGCTTGCTGGTGGCTGTAGGTAGAAAGAGGGTGGTCACAGCGGGGTGAGGTCTTATAAGGCGGGGGTAGGCGTGGGTTGATAGTTGACCCCCGCTGTAATGGGCCCCTGTCTCATCAACAGAACATATTATATAAATGGGTCAATACATCTGATATTATATTCAGATTCACCCCCTGTAACTTTCCACTGTCTATGAGTAAGACATGAGTTGTACACGTGAGAGGGCAACTCTCCCAAGAGGGTAGAAGCCCATCGTCAGCATATCTGTAAGCCTGCACAGCGAGAGACTCACTCGGTAGTCACTCACAGCAACTTATATCGTAAGGACGTGACCTAACGTTTATATTACATAAACGCCGTCCCTTTCTCATTCACTCATATACAGTGGAACTTACGGTCGATCTACACTCAGGAATTATAGATACAATCCTTTTATATTAAAACAAGGAACTACAGTTTGGGTTTCGTTACTTAAACCCAAATAATAAATATATGTGACCGGCCTGGTTAATTGGACAATCCAGCCGATTCACCGCTCCGTCAGGCGGCGTTGGAGGCGTAGACTGAGAAATTCGAAAAGGGTCGGCTACTCAGTGACAAATGGCGTTTGTAGGGGAGGAATCCACTGCAGTATCATCTCACATCCAGAAAATGTCTCAAATTTCACCATATCATAATATCTTCTCTCTGTTTAATATACCGAGTAAGTTAGGTAAGGTTAGGTAGGTTTGGTTGGTTAGTTTTGTTCTTCATGCCCACAAATATTAAGTAGTGTTTATTTTAAAAATATATATTTTTTAAACATATTTCCACAAGCTACAACAGTGTCCACTATAATATAACAATGAATATCCGGCGTTTTTATAATTGTTTTCAATCAATTTCGCTCGAGGGTTAGTCCTATATAATTACCCAGATTTTTTATCAATATCAATAAGATTATTTTTTGGTAAAGGTGTAGAAAAGGTTGACTACTAGAAGGAATTGTCCGAATTGGTTAAAAAAATTTCTACACACTAATATGACATTAAACACAAAAGTGGAAATGACAATGCATGGAACCTAATAAAACCTGACCAAACATACCCAACCTTTGGGTTTGTTAGGTCAAGTTCTATTAGGTTCTATGCATTACAATGTTAATTTATGTGTTAAACAACTTACCTTAATATTGAGGTTGATGTACTGTACATCAGCAATGGTGAGGAGGAATACGTGGAAGCGTTCACCATCATTTAGGAAACATCTCTTGAAAAGGGATTCAGCGAGATAACAACTAAAGTGGCGCTGGTATTAAAATTGAGATAGAGTAAATAAAAAAAAGTACTTAAAACTATAATCGAAAGTTGTCGTTTTTTTTTAATATACTTAAAATCATCAAAACAATAAGTATAGTAAAAATCAAGAAAATCAACAAACAACATCTGGTGGTCACCCTTTTCTACACCTTTACTTTAATTTTTTTTTTAATAAGGAATCGATTTCTTCTATGGCATTTCCTGGGCAAATGCATAGTTTTTGTTAGGTTAGGTTAGTTTTGGTTAGGTTTGGTTTGGCTTGGCATGTGATGCCTTGTGCCTGGATCTTAGAGGCTCTTGTTGCATGTGGGACTTGTCAAAAGTCTTAGAAAAATCCATATACAACCCATCCACTGGTAGCCCTTGGTCCACATACCCTGTTACCTTTTGAAGGAAAGTGAGTATTTGTTAGGCAGGATTTTCTCCATTATACTGTGCTGGGATGCATTGATATGATTGTGCTTTGTCAGGTGTTGTTGTTGTTGTTGTTTTTTTTTTTTTTTTTTTTTATAAATTAAGGGAGTAGCCCACCCGTGCACAGGTCAATGACCCACATCAGGGCCTGGGGGCAAAGATATAATAATAATACTAATAATAATAATAATAAAATACAAATAAAAAACAATAATAATATAATTATGACTATCAATTTTCAAATACTGTGATGTTTTGACTTTCCTGTCGCGAACCATGAACCCCGAGATTCAGACTCTTGAATCCGAAGCATTTATGGACAGAATAATGTATCGGTGTCTACTGCTTCGGGTTCACGAGTCTGAATCGTGGTTCGCAACAGGACTTTCTTGGGTGACTGTACATACTTAAGGAAATACAGTCAACCCTCACTTTACGCGGTTAATTCAACCCACAGGGTACCGCGGAAAGTGAGAAACGCGTAAAGTGAACAACATAACATATGGGATTAATTGAAATAGAGACCGGGCCGACCCCCAAACTCCACTTTTTGACGACACACAACTATGTTGTAGTAAAAATATTATCTTAACTTTATGATGGTATGCACACACAATTAATAATTAAGAGAAATATCAATAATATTAGTTTTTTTAACACATACATTAGTAGAAAAGATGGCTGGGCACACGGGGATGGGGGGTTGGTTCCGAGGCAGAGGGCAGATTATTGGCCCTCACTTGTATCACTTGTATCAATTGTATCACTATCCACCACAGAGGCTTGCAGGGCCTCTTTGTCAAACCCCTCAAAGTCCATATAAGTCCATATCCTCACTATAATTATCACTATCACTGACTTGGGCCGGCTGTGGTGAGTGGCGGGTGAAGAACTCGGTAATGTTTTGATGACTGGGCGACCGTGTGCGCACCCTGCTCGCGCCGCTTACACAACATGGCGGGAGGTTTGGATCCAAAAATGGCACGGCTCGCCAGCCGCTCTGCGTAAAGGGGTACACGCACCGCGGAATGTGAGCATTCCTGTTTCGGCAGGGTACCGCGTAAACGTGGAAACGCGGAATGTGGGACCGCGTAAAGCGAGGGTTGACTGTATTCTTAACTGTTTGATAGATGTGTTATTTTATGATATTCCCCTTCCTGGATATTAGATCATAAAAATTAAGTGTTTAGCTTATGTTATGTTTAATTATGTATATTTAATGCTGTATAAGTATCCTAGAGTTTAATTTTAAGTAATTTAAGTTATAATTTCACCACTTATCAGAGTGCAGTAATATCTTCGTAAGCCGGAATCCCTCAAACCCGCAGCTCTCCGATAACTGAAGGGAGGGAAGGGAGGGTGGGTGAGAGGGAAGGTGTAGGTGTGGGAGGGTTGGGTGGGTGGGTAGGAGGGAGTGGTTAGGTTGGTGGGAGGTATTGTTGGGTGGGAGAGAAGGTAGGTGTCTGCATGGAAGTGAGTGTGTGTGTGGATGGGAGGTCCTCCCAACCACACACCCTTCCTCCCATCCATGCACCCTTCCTCCCACCCACACACCCAACCTCCCATCCACTTACCCTCCTGTCCATCCACAAACCCTTCCTCTCATTCACACACCCTAAAGGTCTTTTTAAATCTTTCAGATTATGTGGCTGTCTGAGGTGAATGGCTGGCTGGCTCAGGTGGACTGCTGGCTGGCTCAGGTGGAAGGCTTGCTGAGGCGAACGTCTGGCAGGACTAGAACACCACCAAACAGGTAAAGTACTTGTGACAATATGTAATGTCTATATGTAAGGTATTTATGAACATTGTCTAAAACTTTTTGTATTCCAGGTTTGTTTGGCTGACTGTGGACCCACAACAAGGTGCTGCCTGGAGGTTTTAAAGGTAAGACTTATTTTTGTAATAGTAACAGCACCATAGTTAGAAGTATATACACAGTAGTAACTCCGCCTTGTTCAACTGAACATGCCGGTCCCCAGCCCGGATAAGGGAGGAGGGCTACTTCAGTGAAGTTTGAAGTAGATACAGAGTAGTAACTCTGCCTTGTTCAACTGAACATGCCGGTCCCCAGCCCGGATAAAGGAGGGCTACTGCAGTGTTGCATGATCACTACTTCATAAACTCTTCATTTTCAGACCAATTTATAATACAAGGTACAGTAACTTATATCTTATCAAGAAGACCATGTTTACTGTATATTTACCAAGACCATCAATGTAATATTTTAGCTTTTTATAGATGAATAGTATCGAAAAATGAGATTTACATAGTCACTTCCACTTAATGGTATCTTCATGTTTTGACTGTTTAATATTGCAAGACTAACGATGAAGTACAGTATATTAGGTTTCGTAGACAGGAAATCTTAAAAATAAAAGGAATTTTATAGTTTATTTTTATTATACACTACATACTCTGCTTATGTTAGTTTGATAATAGTCCAGAAGTTTGATACAGATTACTAAAGAACGTGTCAACTTGCCTTATTCTTCTTTGGGTTATACCCGTGCTGTCTAGGTACTTAACAGTTTACTAGACATTCAAGTAGTTCTGGTATCAATTTAAACCTTCATTATGTATAGTATTAGTGTATGTAGGAGGAAACCAGAACTTGCAATGGTTGTGAACATCACACTAGATAACATTTTTCTTGCATCTAGATAATGCTAGTATTGTGGTAATGTGCTCATTTCTTCTCGGCAGATACGTTGTGATGGAGGCGTCTTCACGATTTCACAATCTATCCAGTATTTCCTACTTCAACATTTTTAATGGACTCCACTTAAGGTTAGTTTATTACACTAGACATTAATGAGTCTCTCTCTCTCTTATGTCAGGTTTTGGTCATACACGAGATTTAGTTTGATCCAGTAATGGAAGTCTTGACTTTGTTAATAATTTTGACCTGGTACAGTACAGGGGTATTTCTAAATTTATTCAAGTGACCAAATCTGTTTAGAACTGCATTCATCACTTCCACCACTTTTCAAGATACTAACCTTTTGGGCAGGTGTGGGTGCGATATTTGCTAGGTTTACAACGTTCAACACCCTTCTCACATCTGTCCCAGGCTGGAGTTTGGGCCCCAGGACAGCTTTGCAAGATACACACACTACCACCAACACCTACTGTATTTCGGTCTGATATCAAATTATTTCATTTCAAAACGTTACAACTTTAAACATGACCATTGGATTTCAAAGTCTTAAGCTTTTTTGCATAACAAAGTTAATTTATAGGTTGTACATAATAGTACATTTATAATTTGAATTATAATTTTACAAGGATTTCTTTTCTAAATTATAGGCAAAACGAACTTCCATTCAACAACTGGTGTGCAGTGTCCAGATTGTCAACATTCCGTAATTAAAGTCCCTACTGTATTCTACTTCACGTACTATGTATATATTACTTTCAAAATAATAGTATGCATACAGAGTCAAAGACTTAACTACACTGAAAGGAGATATTACAATGCCATCTGAAGGTACAGTCCTATGGTCATCCTTTTAGTTTTGATTTTACATACCCAATACATCTCTACATGGGCATTAGTTTGTAGCAGTTCTACATAGGCGGGCACTCGGATGTCAATTAGTGATTGATAAGTATACATAGGCTATCATGTTGGCATCACAGGATCCATATACTTTACACCTCGCCTTCAGGTTTCAAGTTCAGCTTACAAGATCATTATTATTCTACTTTTCCAGAATCGGAGTATAAAAAATGTCAAATTTATTCAGTGTATTTGATTATGAACATATATTGTATAATGAGAGCCAACAGTATGTTCCTAATCGATACAAGTGCCAACCATTACACTATATAGAGTATACCTTATTTTAATCTATGTGGCTTGACTCGAGGCTTACTTATACATTCTTAAATATTACTTAACTGTACTTTCAAATATTTTCTTAATTGTATAAATAAATTTGTGCTTAAAAAGGTGGAAGTCATGGTGTGGGTTGTGGGATGGTTGACAGTACAGTAGAGAACAGTCACTGAGGTCATCTTGCTTTCACATCTGGTACACCAATCACCTGTGACAGCTGATGTACTTGAAGGCCAATGGAGAAGTGACAGAACCTTGAGCAAGATTTAATGCCCAGCATGTAACTTCAGCCTCATCAGTTAAGTTACTTATACAGTATATCTTGGCTAGTACAGTCATCCCATAAACCACTCAACACTGTGCTCCTACACTGGGCAGTGGAGGGTGTGTGTGTGTGGGGGGGGGGCCTGGCTGACAGTGTGTGTTAGAAGGCTCTGGAGGATTGTGTTGGAACGGCTCTTGAGGACTGTGTGTGTGTTGGGACAGCTCTGGAGGACTGTGTGTGTGTGTGTGTTTTGGGATTGCTCTGGAGGACTGTGTGTGTGTGTGTGTGTGTGTTGGGATTGCTCTGGAGGACTGTGTGGACTGACTGTAGAGACTGATATTAGAGTAAATATACAGAACTACATGCCTATTGGTTATTGGAGAAAATTAGTTGTAGTGTAGTAGTAAATATAGCGAGTAAAGCAAGTTGTTGTGGGTTGGTTTCAACTAACTTCACTAGCCTAACTATCCTAACTTAGATCAAACATAACTAACCTAGACTGAACCAAATCAATATTAAGCTATCTTTTATACAAAAACCTATGTCTTATCTAATGTATTAAAGAACAATAATTCAAATTATATTATGAGCCACTTAAGTTTACCGATTGTCAATACAGAAAGTTAATTTTCAAGTTGGATAAAACTGAGATTTTTGTAAACCATTAAAATTTGATAACTTGTGTACAGTTGGAGTCTATTTAAGTAGAGGTGGTCTAGTGGTAGAAGGATATTGTATGTTTAACCTTTTTTCTACATAAATAACAACTCTAAATATATTGCAGGTTACAGATGATGTACTTAAAGGCCAACAGAGAAAGATACAGAACCAACCTTGAGCAAGATGTAACACATGTTAATTCATCCTCCCCAGTTAAGTTTTGTCTTTGATGGCTAAACCTAAAAACCACTGAATGTCGTTGAGAAGGAGTGGAGGGGCGCTCGTACGTTGGGCAGTGGTGGTGTGCTCATAAATGGTTAATAGTGAATGTTATAAATTTAGGAGTAAAATGGCATGTACTTTGAAGGAATGTTGTGGATGATGCCTGTGGGAAGACTGCTGCAGCCATAAGAGAGCAGGAAGGCTGGTGCTCACTTGTAAAGTATTACAGGAGGGTGCTCAAGTGTATGGATATATGTAAGGATGTAAGTATAGAATGCAAGAAATTTGGGGGTAAATGTGTTTTGTTAGTGTTAAGTTAATGTTAATTTAGACTTGTAATAGTTACCCCTTCTTAGTTTTCTGTGATGAAATATAATAGTTACCTCTTAAACCTTCTTCTTCCTCTCATCAAAACACAAGGGAAAGATTGAAAGATAGAGGGAAGAAACAAAATTCGAAGGGGTGGTTTTTTTTTTCGCCCCTATCCCCAGCCCTGCCCCCTGAAGCCAAGTTTTCTTATATTACTTTAGGATGCCACCATTTTGGCGAGCTACATGAATTTATGTAATTATATATTTAATTACAGTAATAATCAAATAACACTTTAATGCCATTGTAGTGGAATTCTCCCCTACAAACGCTGTTTGTCGCTGAGTAGTCGACCCCACCAATTCCCCAGTGTATGCCTCGTGGTCTGGGTCAACCAGCGCCGCCATACATCACGGAGCCGGGGTCAACTACTAAGCCACGCCTACCCCCGCTATTTAAGACCTGACCTGGTGGTGACCTGACTTTTTTCTACCTACACCAACTAGCCAGCAACACCTCCGCCTGCCTGGCGGTCCTCTCTCCCGCTGGCGAGCATGGCGACCCACAAGCTGCCCTTCTCTGAGCGTCCTCACCAACCAGCTCTCTCTACATCACGCTTGTAACCATGCTGCCTTCCCAGCGCCAAGCTGCATTGTACATCCAATACAACATGTATATAGAGAGCACATTGTGAGTTTCCTTTCTCCATCCCATCCTGAGTGTGAACCAAACAATCTCATACCCCACACCATATTCTATTTTATAATTACAAATTAATGCAATGATCTTATGAAAAATACTTTCACAAATACTAGTGAAATTATTTAATATAATTGTTTTATAGGATGAAATATAATAGTTACCCCTCCTTAGAGTTCTGTCACGAAATATAATAGTTACCCCTTCATAGTGTTCTGTCATAAAATATAATAGTTACCCCTTAAACCTTCTTCTTTTTCCTCATCAAAACACTAAACCTTCTTATTATTCTTCTTCCTCTCATCAAACCACAAGGGAAAGATTGAAAGATAGAGGGAAGAAACAAAATTCGAAGTGGTGGTAATTTTCACCCCTATCCCCAACCCTACCCACTGAAGCCTAGGTTTCTTATATTACTTTAGGATGCCACCATTTTGGCGAGCTACATGAATTTATGTAATTATATAATTAATTACAGTAATAATCAAATAACACTTTAATGCTATATTCTATTTTAAAATTACAAATTAATGCAATGATCTTATGAATGATACTTTCACAGAAACTAGTGAAATTATTAAATATAATTGTTTTATGGGATGAAATATAATAGTTACCCCTCCTTAGAGTTCTGTCATGATATATAATAGTTACCCCTTCATAGTGTTCTGTCATAAAATATAATAGTTACCCCTTCTTAGTTTTCTGTGATGAAATATAATACTTACCCCTTAAACCTTCTTCTTCTTCCTCTCATCAAAACACTAATCCTTCTTCCTCTCATCAAAACACAATGAATTTATGTAATTATATAATTAATTACAGTAATAATCAAATAACACTTTAATGCCATATTCTATTTTATAATTACAAATTAATGCAATGACCTTATGAAAGATACTTTCACAAAAACTAGTGAAATTATTAAATATAATTGTTTTATGGGACATGGTGGTGATGTAGCCTTCTCTCACCTGGTGGTGGTGATATAGCCTTCTGTCATCTGGTGGTGGTGGTGATGTAGCCTCTGTCATCTGGTGGTGGTGGTGATGTAGCCTCTGTCATCAGTCTGTCCCTTGTTCTTCACTTCTGTAAGGTTAGATGATATAAATAGTTATATAGATTTAATGATGAATACAGTTGATAGATTGACAGACTTAATAATTGGCAAAGCCAACAGATGCTATTTACAGTAGGGTCCTTTGCTTAGGCTAGGTCTCTAATCAGTAATAGCATGTCAACAGGAGAAATAGAGAAAGTTTTCTGATCAATTTAACAAGCATTACATTGCACTTGGACTAATTGAGGTTGGCAGATCTCTTCAACATTATATATTTTGTGGTTAATACAGAAACAGCTTCATCTGTTATGTATTTTTTACTTTTAGCTATGAATTGTTTTACACTATTACTGGTTTTGATGTACTGTAGTTTGGTAACTTGTTTCAGTCTTTTATAGCTGTGAAGAAGAAAGTGTTTTTTGCTTGAATGTAAACACCAGGTACGGTATACCACAAAATTATGTTCCCTCCCTCTAGTGCCTGCCGGTTCATATCCCTAATCCTTACAAAATTTGGTGTTAAATAGTCTGGCCACAGTTTGTTGAATATCTAATAAGAGTGATTCAGACTCAGTTGCTTCACTCTATCTGTCACACTTAACATTTTCAGTGATTGAAGAACTCTGAGACCAATGTGATCTCTTGCATTCATGTCAAGAATAAACCTCACTGCCTTGTTTTAAATTTTTTTTAATTTGACTTTTAGCTTCTGTGTTAAGGCAGAGTGTAATAATGATCAGGAATAGTCTAAGTGACTTTGTAGAGTGCCAAGCAAAGTTGCTATGAGCATCAGCTGAGACATATGGCATTTCTATAAACAAATTGTTTATCCTAACATTAGTTTTACTAATTATATTATCTACAATTTATTCTCCAGATGAAGAAAGTCGAGAGTTAGTCCAAGGTATTTCACTGAGTTTACAGTTGAGATGGGTTCATTCCCACATTGTAGTAAAACTACCCAAAGTTGGACTCAGTTTGAATTACCAGTGCAGATGCCGAGTTGTAATTGGTCTCTACAAAACCCTGGGCAGTACTCAAATTCTTGAATCTAGACTCTATAGTACCAAAACATCTTCTAACACTAATCTAGGTGGGAAGCACATGCAAAGGCTACTTCAACCATAGGTGAGTTATACAGTAATTCAATTACTGTAATGATGCTTTTACTCATGTCCATACTAATGTACTCATGACAGTGAAGAGGGTGAAACAAGAAGAAAGCTGATATTCTTCTTGAAAAAACTGAGGAACTGGAATGTGTCTTCATGTTCATTGGTGAGATCATTTCCACAAACCAACAAGACCCTACAGGATCCACAGATTGGCCTTAGCACATGTACAAAGCTTTACACATTGCTCACTAACTTCTTGACATAAATCCTAAAAAGTTTTGATGAAACTGGACTCAAAGCAAAAGGAGATCTGCTTGATGTAGACTACAAGGGTGTGAATAAAAGAGAGTAAGAAAAAACAAGTCAGTGATGGTGATGTAGCAAATGATGATGACAGGCTTTCTCCAAGAGACAAATTTTGAGTAAAATCCTTTATTCTCGTGATGGATGCCCTTGAAATCAATGTGAAAAAAAGTCAGTCATATACAGTACAATAATGTTGCAAAAATAAAAATAAACAGTTGTGTGACAGTGTAAAGTTTCTGGTGAAAGACTATCCTGATGATATTGATGTTAACCTTGTTGGGGAAGTAAAGCACTTAAATGTTTATACCAAGAAAATTTTTTCTAATAAAGGATATTTATGCCACTAGAACCTCTATCAAGTCATCTTCCAAGATAAGATTCATTTGGCTTTCCCTAATGTAGAAGCAATATTGTGGCTAATAGTCACAAATTGCTCAGGAGAAAGGTAAAGTATGAAGCTGAAAAGGATTAAGAATGAACTATGGACATCAATGCTGTGAGAAAAGTTCCCTGCATTAAGCATTATGTGAATAGAAAGTGAAAAATTTGTAGCTTATCATTGGACGACTTCATCCATGACTTTGCTCTTGGGGAACTACGAAAGAAAAGTTTAAAATTTTATGTGATGTTCAACCAGAAGAGACAGTGCCAGTTGCATTACTGCTTCCATCTACCAAGGATGAAACTGTTTAATTTCTTTATATAATAGTAGGAGTAACTGGAGAACAGATTATATCAACTGTTACTCAATTCCAAACGAATAACTTCTGTTACCAAAATTGTCATGTATACTTGGAGTACACCTGACTACAGTGAGTTCTGCTATAACGCGTGTTTTGATAACGCGAATTTGCTCTAACGCGATTTATGAATAGAGGAACGATATTTGTATAACGCGAACGCTTGTTTGCTGTAACGCGATTTTTGCATACTATTTCTCCAATTTTGTGGTATTAACTGTGAATATGGTAAAGAAGAATATCTCCAAGAAGCGTTCTGGTGATCGAATTCCCGGTGATGATCGTAAAAGAAAGGATATAAAACTTAAAGAGAAGCTCGATGTTATCAACCTCAAAATCACCCTTCTCCCCCATCAAGTTTTATGTTCATATTTTTTCAAGGTAAAGTGTTACATTTACTGTATAATTTCATTATTAGATATGAATGTAACATTTATTTAGACTGTGCTATCCTTTGTGTTAGGCTAACTTCTAATTTTTTTTCGATTTCGAGTAGTAATCTGCACCTAACCCTATTTTCTCCATAAGCCCTGTTATTTCTATTACGCGATTTTCTATAACATGATATTTTACAAGAACACAACTATCGCGTTATAGCAGAAGTGACTGTAACTGTAAACTGAAGACTGATCACCTTAGACTGGTCATAGACTGGGTCCCCTTAAGCTACGCTTTGCCAACTATGTAACACTATCTTCTTTGTAACAGTATAACACAGTAATGGGAAGAACATAATTTCTCTACCTTTACCAACTGTGTATCTGTTGGGTGACTGTTACTTGTTGTATAACAACTACTTGTGAAGCTGTCATATATGTAACAACCTTCCTGGGTTGTCACCACTTGTAACAATCACTTGTGAAACATGTTACCTCATATTCTAGAAGTACTAAAATATACATAAAAGTTTATTGGGTCTTCAGTAACTTAATCCAATAGGTTCCTTTTGTATATTTATTATAAAAGGTTTCTATGTACACTTTCAAAAAGGATTATCACCATAACTTATAATCACTGTAGCTATGAGTGTTAAATGAGGAAGGAGGTTATCTTAAAGTAGCTCTTCTAAACTACGTCCGATTGATGTGAGCGTGGTAGTGATCTTGAGTAGGGACCCTCGAGGGAGAACGGAAATATATCCCACATCCTCCCTTGAGGAAAGACGGAAGCACATCAACGATGGCTCTAAATAATGTCTTCCTCTCGTCAGGGTTATCAAACTACTGCCCGCAATAGGTGGCCAGGGAGCTGGATACTTATCCCTTAACTCAGCACTAAGTGACATGACTTCCCGTGGACACACCTTATACACCTTGGTCGATCTGTGCAATGTTTTATGTAAAAGTCTTCAATTTCAAATTTGCTAGTTAGAAAATCATAAAGTATTTTATAATACAAATAAAGCTTTTTCTAAGATGTGTATGTTATTTAGATTATAAGTTTTTCATTGCATCTTTGCGTATGTATACTGTACAGTATATGTAAACATATAGTTTATAAAAAAAAGAATTATTGACCTTTATGTTAGAATGTAATACACACTTTCTCACAATTACATACTTTATTTTTTATGGTATGGAGCCTCTAAATCTTGACATAGCTTAGGGTTTCAGCATGTCTTAATACAGCCCTCCATCTAGCACTGATTGTCGTGATTATATAGTTACTACAGTACAGTACAATACAATAAATTTGAGTTTAGTGGAATTAAGTTTGGTGTAATACTGTACATTACTGTACATATTTCTACTTTAATGTTAAGCATGTCAGACTAGCCAAAGTGCAGTGCCTCTCTCCACCCACCAAGGCTCCAGCAATCATATAGGAAAATAAGTGTCCTGGAGTGTTCAGTTGCTATTATGCATTTAAAGGGTAATATCAAATGAATAATTTCTTTTTTAAAGGTACTGGATACAGGGAAGTGTACAGATGAGGTGTCTGTGTGTGTAAGATAGGTGTAAATATGGAGGAGAAAGTAGAGATGTCTAATAAATATGTTAAAGAAGAGGTACTGCATGAACCAACTTTCTGGAAAACATGTAACAACACACAAGTGAACATACTGGACGTGGCATGCTATATGTTTTACCTTGATAAGAGATGAGTTTATCTTGGGCCAATGCAGGATGAGTGAAGGAAGTGGGTGAACTTTTGACAGTTTCTCTAAAGCATCTTTGTTGGCCTTCCTCTGTCACAATAAAAAGTGAGTTAGTTAAATACTGTACAGGCATCCCTCAAGGTACAGAAGCTTGAGTAATGGAAATTCACATTAAAGGAACTAAAAAAAAAATGGAATTATCTTTGAGATACAGAGGAAAACTTCCATTAATTAGTGGGACTCTGCACAGTACAGTACTGGTATTGGTTTGCTCATTTCCCATGAAGAATCTCCACCCCAACTTATTACACCTAAAGATTAACCACCTTAATGCTATTTGTGGGGATAAGGTTAGGTTAGGTTAGCATTTGGGTGGTTAATCTTTAGGTGAAATAAACAAACTAGGGTGGAGATTCATCAGGTGATCCCACTATTACAAGGTGCAGTAAACTTGGTGGGGACCTTTCAGTCTTATACCGTGTTTTCTTTTTAATTTGTATATATGTTAAAAGTTTTATAAGGTAAGTTAAAAATTTAAAGACCAAAATATTTTGTGCACAGCAAAGTTAGCCACAGATCAAAAATGTGCAGTTAAGGGTCCAGGAATTTTGGGTGTATGTTTTAGGGCTGCAGTCTCATACTCTACCTTAAATTTCCCACTGAAATACATAGAATGATTTAACATGATTCAACACCACCCACACCTGCTGTGCTGATAGTGAAGTGAAAGAATAAAACATTAAACTTTGAGATGACTATCACAGATTCATATCATTCTTGATGGCAATCTTATTTTTTAAGAAAAATAATACTGTACGAGTATTATAACTAATTAAGATGAAAGACTTTCAAATATTATTGGTAAAGGTGGAGGAGACAGTTGCCACCAGAAATAACCTATGGATCTGACCTAAAATTTTTGGAGATAGTATTTGCATGACACTGAAAACGAAAATGGAAGCAAGAATATGCAGAAAATATTAGAACCTGACCTAACCTTATCTAACATTCTAATCTGTGGACACTTTCAACAGACACCAAAAAGAAGTTGGAGGCCTTTTAAAAGTGGTGTTATTGGAGAATGCTTAGAAAAGGCTACAGAGAGAAAAACAAATGAAGAAGTACTAAGATTAGCAAGAACTTCAAGATAAATACTTGAAATGTACAGAAAAAGAAAAATTGACGTAAAATAATCTCTATCACAATGTCAGCACAGCTCTTTCCACCTGTTCAACCATATCTGGTTATTCTGGTACTCAAAAATCAAATCTCCGCTCCCGACGCACCCATGGCTAAGACAAAAAACTCTTGCCCAATTATAAGTCTCCTATCGCTACAACCAATAAGAAACTCCCACACATGTGCTGTAGACACTTAAGAAGCCAACACAGAGGTAAGAAGCACTGCATGATGGGCGGTCAGACTGTAGTGGATTCCTCCCCTATGCCTCCAGCGCCGCCTACGGAGAGGGGGTCAACTATCTACCCACGCCTACCCCCGCCTTATAAGACCTGACACCGCTGTGACCAGCCTCTTTCTACACAGTGCCACCAGCAAGCAACACCTCTTCCTCTGCGCCAGCCTGGCGGCTCCCACACCACCTTGGAGTCCCTCAAGCCGCGTGCCCTCCTCTGGCACCCTCACCAACCAGCTCTCTCTACTCAACGTTTGTTACCATGCTGCCTACCCAGCAACAAGCTGCATTGTACATCCAATACAATATGCATACAGTGAGCACATCGTGAGTTTCCTTTCTACATCCTATCCTGAGTGTGAACCAATATCTCATAACCCCACAAATGGTGACCCCGGAGTGACCACTCAAACAGGATGGAGGAGAAACTGATCACTCTCCCAGTCTTCAAGCAACATGGAAGACTGTCTTACCCACGCAGAGGCAGCTCTCATCGGCTCTACAACTACTGTCTCTACACCGCAGGTTAGACACCCTAGAGCAGCTCTGCTACTCTAAGCAGACAGCCGCTCCTCTTCCTGCCCCAAGCACCACGTCCTACCGACCCCAACACACCCGTCCTGCCTCAGATGCCACCCCCGGCCCAGCAGTACCCCCTGCCGCTCCTCCTGACGTGACCCCTGCTCCTGACGCGGACCCACACACCCCTCTTTTCTCCCTCAGGTACCCCCTGCTACTGTCCTACACCCTGCTGCTGTCGTGGACCCTGCTGCTGTCATGCACCCTGCTGCTGTCATGGACACTCTTCCTAACGCAGCCCCTGCTCCTGACCCAGGCCCACACACCCCAGCAGGCACATCTGAGGATTCTGTACCAGTCGCGAGGGAAGCACAACATTCATCGCCTCCACAACCCTCCTTCACCCTCTTTTCTCCCACAGATCACGTGTATCTAGACAGAGTTGCCCCCCCTAGCGGCCGGCTCATCCATGCCCTCGCCATTATGTCTCACATGTGGCATGCACCGCCCGTTCTGCCTCACATGTGGCACGTAACCCTGCCAACCTCCAGCCTCCCGCCGTGCCTGGAGGGGAAGGGGAGTATTGTAGTGGATTCCTCCCCTACAAGCACCGAATCTTCTCGAATTCCCCAGCCTACGCCTCCAGCGCCACCTACGGAGCGGGGGTCAACTATCTCCCCACGCCTACCCCCGCCTTATAAGACCTGACACCGCTGTGACCAGCCTCTTTCTACACAGTGCCACCAGCAAGCAACACCTCCTCCTCCGCGCCAGCCTGGCAGCTCCCGCACCCTCGCCACCTTGGCGTCCCTCAAGCCGTGTGCCCTCCTCTGGCACCCTCACCAACCAGCTCTCTCTACTCAACGTTTGTTTCCATGCTGCCTACCCAGCAACAAGCTGCAGTCTATCCACTACAATATGTATACAGTGAGCACATCGTGAGTTTCCTTCTCCATCCCATCCTGAGTGTGAACCAATATCTCATAACCCCACAAGACCCTCTCTGTGAGATGTAAACAACAAATGGTGACACTTGTGACAGACCAAATCTAATAATATTGAAAAATTAATATCTTGGCTATCCTTAATTTCCAGCGGATATATCATAGAAGAAAAAGGTCTTAGACTTGTCTAAACATTACAAAAAACATTAATAAAAGCGAAAAAAAGACCGGTGCATGACTGAAATTTCACCCCCAATTTTTACTGATTATATTAGGGAATACTGTATTATGAGTTAGAAAAAAAATATTAAAATGGGTGAAATCATGTGCTAACCAAACCAAACCTAAGAAAACCTGACCTGGCCTAACCTAACCTATATCTTAACTCGCCTATATCTCGAAAATTACTCATTTCACAACAAAAATTAACAGAAAGAAAAGCATAATCAGTGTACAAAACTGTGGTATAACTGCAGTTTCGGACGATATGGATCTCGAGTTGAGCGATGTGTTTTTTCGACCGTTTAGACAATTTTTAGACACTTTTATAAAGTATCCCTCGCAAATTACTGAAATATGCCTGAATCATCATAGAAGAAAAGTGTCTTAAAATTTTCCAAACAATCGGAAAAACACATTGCTCAACTACTAGGGGTATTGTCCAAAACTGCAGTTTTACCAAAACTCTTAAAAAAAAACCTCATAAATACTTCACCACTGACGGTCACCAGCCGTATATTTGCTTTTGCTGCTAGACTTAAAATAAGTACATACCTGCATCTGCTGTTTCCCATACACAGGTAACATGGTACTGTAGGTGTGTGTAATTTATAACTGGCAAAGGTGACAGCTTCGCTACCAGGTAAATTTGTTTGTTTACCAATATTCTGGATTCTGAACGTGCGCATTCCTTTACCTTTATCCATTTTACCCTCTATTAATTAGGCTAAAAACGTGATTTAATGGCCTATATATATATATATATATATATATATATATATATATATATATATATATATATACAGCCGTGTTAAAAAACGTTTATGCATTAGGAAACTTCTTTCTTTATCTATCCTCGACCTCGGGCTCAAACCCAGGAGGTACTGGAGAGTAACACGCACACTATCGACTACTCTGTAGTCACTACAGTATATCAGTTAAAATCTTATTTTAGGAATAATATGATGCTAAATTATGCCTAACAACCTAAAAAAAATATTAAATTGGTCTTGACAATCGTTTCAGAATCGTTAATAGAACAATCAGCTATTACTGCACAAATCCTTGATATTCAAAGGAGGCCACCAGACTGGTGGCTGCACTTCGGCATGTCAACTACCCCCTCCTCCTGAGCGGTCCGACTAATTACCCAAATGTAGCCGCAATGAAGTCAAATAATGGTCCTATATGAATAAATCGGACTGCCAACTACTCCTCGAATAGTATTTGGTGTCACGAAGTCACAAAAAATTGGAAAACTTAATTTAAACTGAGTTAATAGATCGCGTGCTTGTACCGAGGGAGCGAGTAATTACCCAAATGTACAGTAGCCACAATGAAGTCAAATGATGGTCCTACAAGCGTAATTCGGGCTGTGAATCACTTCTCGATTATCATTTGGTGTCATAGTCACAAAAAATTGGTAAACTTAATTTAATGAGTTGTATTAGGTTAGGCACATGCACTCGATCTATTAACTCAGATTAAATTAAGTTTACTAATTTCTTGTGACTTCGTGACACCAAATACTAGTCGAGAAGTGATTGGCAGTCCGATTTATTCATGTAGGACCATTATTTGACTTCATTGCGGTTATATTTGGGTAATTAGTCGGACCCGCCGCAGGTCCAGAAAACTGTGAGGGCAAACTTTTTTGGAGTGAGAGTTATAAACTCTTGGCACAATCTGCCAGATGGGGAAGCACTTCACTCTTAAAGATCGTTACGAGGAATGGACCGTCTAGATATCTGAACGACCTTCTTATAAGACCCAATAATTTATTTACCTGATTTACTTTCTTCTCTGATTTCAAGTGTAAAAGCAATTTCTATAGATCATGTAAGTTCACTATCGGTGGGAAGGCTACAACACTGGCGGCGGCCAGAGGATAAAAGGAAAAAAGTATCACGTTGCATTGCCTGGGAGTAGTATGTGACGTCATGCGAAAACTGAGATAGGCTCTTAAAATCACTTTATATAATACTTGCAAAACTTAAAATTAAGTTTTGGTGACATAATTATGAATTTTTTACTAGTAAAATAATTATAGAAATATTTATAATAAATAAATAAAATTAAATTGAGGCACTTTCATATACCTGTAATAATACTCGTAGTCATTGCACTAAAGATGAATATGTAGGATAAACAACATCAAAAGGTTAAACATTATTTTATATTGTTTCCAGATTAATGATATCAATAATTTTTTCATAAATGGTCATGGTGAAGTATTACAGTATACAGCAGGTATGAATTAATATAAGCTCGCTATACTATTCCAGATGATCATAATATTTCCTTGAGATAAATGTACAATATACATCAGGTGCCTTCAAGAAAGCCGAGACTCTCCACTGCCTCAGCCAGGTCAATATTCTTATTATTATCGACTCTACGTATCTGTATTTTTCTGGCTAAATAAACTTCAATATCAATGTCTTGGAGGGTGAAGTAAACATTTACACTAGTGATCCCTCATCAGCTCCCGGAGGATGGTTGTGTGTCAGGCGTCATAATTATCTCTTAAAAATGTATTTATTTGTTATCACTACCGTTCTAGGGTCTGCAGGCGTTGTGCTACCCACATTCGTCCAGTATGTAAGTATCTGAATGTTGAAAGTTTGTCTGGTTGCTGAAAATAAACGTAGCCTGAGGAAATTTCATGACCCTAGTTCAATCTTTACCCGGAACACAGACCATTAACTGGGGCAATATAAAGGTAGTCCTCGTTTATTGCAAGTTTTCTGTTCCTGAAAATGCTTATGATTTGCAAAGTTACATTATGCAGAACTAAAAGTTTCCATTAGAACCAATATACTATGCGGTACTTAGGGTGATTTTTCATGCAAGAACACTTATAATGAAATAGAAAAACAAAAACATGATGTACATACAAACGAAGGTAAATATTCGCCCATTGGCTGTTCTCAGGTTTTGGCCCGAGAATTGTTTTTGAAGTTTTTCAGGGTGATTTACTCAAATCTGACCTTCATTTCGGTCAATATGCGGAAAATGTCACCAGGATCTGAATATTGAGTCATATATGGTTTGATAGAGAGAGAGAGAAAAAATCTTTTATAACGTTTCCATCGGAAATGAGGCATAGTGAAGATATAACTTACCATGTACTGTATAGCTTTTTGCACGATACTGACACTCAGATTTACATTTTGGACACTTTACAGATGATGCAATAACACCGTGAGCCCTGAAAATATCAATGGCTGCTCCATCTTTCTCCAAAACACAGTGAATAAAGTGTCAGTCAGTCAATGTGCACCCTTCTCAAACAGTATCCATCTTGAAACATCAGGAATTGAAAGTTACGCTAATTGGCTTTTGAGTATTACATCACATAAACACTCGCGCTGATTCGTGCACACGACTATGACGTTAAAGAATACTCCCACTGATTGGCTAATTTTATTATAAAATAAACTTTAATTTTCTCGTAAACTATACATTTCCGACGGAAGCGTTATTGAAGAAATAATTTCTATTAATTTTTCTTTATCTAACCATATATGACTCAATATTCAGATCCCTGGTGACGTTTTCCAAATGTTGACCTTCATTTCTTGTGCAAATTAGTGTTTTTTGCAAAAAAAATAAAATTTCATTTGAACAGAAACAGCTAATTTGAAAAAAAAAATGGAGGTCAAATTTGAGTAAAACACACCAAAAAAAAATACATAAGAAAACCTATTCTCATACCAAAAACACTAAAATACCTCACTGAACCTAACCTACTTGGAGGAGGAGGAGGAGGAGGAAAGGAGGCGACAACTGACTCTTAAGTGAGTATAACCTCAGGTAACATTGCGGGAACCTTCGGACAGCCAATGGATGAATATTATCCCAAATGAAATGCAATTGACATTTATGTCCATGTTCTCCTGTTTATAGCAGTTTGTCAACTGACCACCCACTGATTCTGGTCTTCCAGCCACACACATACCGGTACTAAATATTCCATGTTCTGCATAACACTGTCTCTCACTTGATTTAGTGTTGTCACACCAGTGTTCACACAGCCTAATAAATTTTTTGGGTAATCCTGGAGCAGATGACAATTACCAAAACACATCGTTTGATTTCGTTCAGTTTTTCTACAGATGTTCTTTGCATGATAGTAGGTAATAAAAATTATATGACAATACAGTACACACAATCTTAAAGAACCTGACCTAACCAACCAAAGAAACCTTACCTAACTTCCCAGCTGGGGTGCCTTGCCTCTTGGACCCCCTGCCCTATTAAACAGAAAGTACTTATGATATCTGGTACCAATAAAAGCAACTTCTTGTGGATAAATAATAATAATAATAATAATTAATGGTTTATTGAAAGAGCTTGGCAGCCAGAAGGCTGAAAATATACAGTTACATATTTGGGGAATGGGTTTCGAATTACAAATAATATACAAGTAACATAAGTGACACAAATAAGACATATAATAACTAGATGGGGAAAAGCTCAAACTACAGTTCATTTCAACATAGTGACAGTGCAAGGAGTAGTGTTTACTGGGAGTGAATACACTGGTTTATTACAAGTTATTGATAATTTTTACAATGGTTGGGACTGGGCTGTTCTTATAGCGATCAGTATCAGCCACAGTATGCTCGGACCAAGCGACTTGCTTGGTCCAAGTATAAACAAACAAAGAGCAGACAACAACACGAGCTGACATGGCAGATTTTTTGGCAGAATATTTACAGTAAATAATTAATTTCTTCTCGTACAAAGCACATAGAAATATAATTTTAGTGTCATATGATCAGTTTTTCACTGTGTTTTACCCTACAATATCCATCTTTCGTACTCTACCCACTACGGGTGATTTATGATCATAGAAGATGAAAAAAATAAAAAATACATATAATTCAAATAAAATGTTGTCGTATAGTTTTTATTACTTACTATCATCCAAAGAAAGTCTGTGGAAAAAAATGAATGAAATTGAATAACTCCTTCTGGTGTTAGCCATCTGCTTCAGTATTACCTAACTTTTAATTGTGCATATCAATGCAGTCATCTGTGTGTTTCCATATGGATTAAATGACTAGTTCCTTCCCACTGACATTCAAAATATGAATCCAATGTACTGGGTATTGGGGGGTGTCACGTTAACACTCGTCACCAACCAGAAGGGGCCAAACACATGGAGTGTATTTAATGAGTGTTCGTATGAATAATGGTGAAGAGGCTGTGGATGGCATAGAATAACACTCGTGGCCAGTCGAATGAACACTTGTACAAAATTATAGACTTACTACACCCATGGGCCTCATTGGTATCCCTGCAAGTCCAACTAGTGTACTGTCTTCTGAAAACTCATGCTTGTCAATATTTTCCTCAGATGCTACGTGCAATTGGAGGAGAAGGGTCAGGAGAACGCCAAATGCGTCAGGAAGTTGGGAAATTGAAACAACAGTTACAGGGCATCAGCATGGTTGACCAGTTTGCTACATATGCTAGAGTTCAACGCAAGATTAATACACAAAACCAGCAGTATAAAGAGAAGGGTAATTAGTGTTCTTAATTTGCTCATTTTCATATGTGCTTAACAATATCTCTGCAAGTTTATTAGTTTTCTGAACCTGACCGGTGCAAAAAATAAAATAAAAATAAACTCACAATGGTAACTAATTGCAGATTTTCAGTTAACAGTGACATAATTTGAACAGTGTTACTGTAACCGTGGCTAATAACCTGTCTGCTAGAGAGGAGGATGAATATGGATGTAAAATATTTTACACTGTATGTTTAAAGATATTTAACTTTCAAATATATTATGCATATCTGTCTGCATTTTACAGAACTAAAGTGTAACAAGTTCTAACATTACATATTTTTAAAATGTAATACTCATAAAAAAATATAATTTTAATTGGCAATGAATTGACTACTTTCGAATTATGTTTCCAAAAGTTATCACACTTAATGCAGGATGACTGGAATCAAGGACAAATGCACACATACATTCTCATTTTATTTGTTGTTGTCCATTTATTCTTAATGGTTTACCCATATTGCTACACACAAGCCAACATCACCCATTAGTGACATGTCCTTCCCCCCCATACATCACATAACACCATACTGTCCAGTCATTCCTACACCACTGCTTTATGGAGATTCATCCACCTCACTTCTAGTCTGACAGAAATGAAGAACCACTCAACCATCTTGAGATTGTGTGTAGGTGACAGGAGGTGGAGTGGGGCACTCCTTGAGCCCATGTGGCACCTGTGCTGAGCACTGTAGGTATAATTGAATCCAGACTGTGTACAAAAATCACATTTACTTATTTGTGTCAGTGAGATAATGCCCAAACAACCTACAAATTGAGGGCCAAGTACATATACATTTAAAGTGCTTCAGTAAAGTTTTTTGTAAATTACTGTAAAAAAAAATTAATGGCTGGCAAGATGTTAACACTGAGCAACAGTCAATCATCTGGTTCAGAAGTTAATGACTGGCAGTCACAGGGCAATTATGTTTTATTTCCCAAAAGTGTCCAGACCATAGAGAGGTTTAACCTGTACTGGCTGTGTTATTTGACTCGGTTAAAGTCTTTATTTTATTGAATGTTGGAGTTTTTACACATTTGTAAATTATGCAAATATTAAAACTATAAATACTGATCATATTACAGTAGCTGGTACTGTATCTTTTATTATGGTAATAGTGCAAGGAAAATTAAAATTTTTGTCCTTGAATGAAACCTGCCGTAATTTAATAAAAAAATGCATTTCATTAAAATTTCAGTGATGGAACGTTCTGTAGGAGAACAGCGAGTGCGTCTGGTTCTGGGAGGACTACTACGGGCTGTGGTGGGACTCTTGTGTATTTGGTTGATTTGGGAGCACCAGTCCGATCCAGTCATTTCACTCTCGCCTGACCTTGTATGGCCTCTTGGACCACTGCTGTCTTTTCCTGGGTGCCAGTTAGGACAGGTAATGTATGAATGTTATTTAATAAAATAATGGTATTAAGTTTCTAATTTTGGATGTATCTGGCAAGATATTTTTTGTCATGTTACCATACTGTATAATCATGTTGGGAACATGTATATTGTATAATACAGTATAGGCAATATCTTGGGGATGAATTAAAATGTCTGCCCTTAATAACTGGAAGTGTGAGTGCAGTATGAATGTCAGTTAACTCATTACCAACTCTTTGAAAAAGTCTTTCAACCTTTCACAACTTTGTTATTCCAACCATGTTTGTTTATTAGTACTGTACATGTCACACATTTTATTATTAGATTTTGATCAGGGTATTTTTACCTGTTTTAATTACAATATGAGGTGAGAAAATGAAATATATCCCTCTTTTCTATTTAGAAACTAAAAATTATTGTACTCAAATTAACATACAGGAAGAGAAGGAAAGTTTAATGTAAAGCTTAAATCAAGTTATATAAAAAAGACATATACCCCTGGCTGTGCCTTTTAGACAATGAAGGACAATAACTGCTGAAAGTCATCAGAGGACTCACCATGACATATTTATGAGGCATTGTGTATAAGAAGGGCAAAAAGTAAGTTTTAAGAAATTCTCTCTTGAAAATTCTGTACCAACCCTGTCCATAACTCACATAAATCTTTATTGATTTTCATCTTATTTGTCTTATATTGTAGTTTTAGGGCAATAATTACTGTACCTGTATGTATGAGAAAAAAATGTCTAACATTCTAAAATATGGCAGATCACTACTACATATGACTACCTGTATTATTAATCACTAATAATTTTTTTTAGCATACATGTGCATATGAATTTTTGCTAACACGAATAATATTTCTGTACTACTGTATATTCAGTAGGATTAAGGGACAAAAAGTTGTAATTTGGATAATTACCCTGTACTGTACTATCCTAGCAGCATCAAGATGCCTAAAAAAATTTCTTCAACTCCCCTCCTGAAATTTTGAAAAGGGCTAACTCACTTTAGTGATTTCCATGTAAAATCAATTTGGAGACAGACATGCCATTAAATGCCTTTCACTTTTACAGATAAGTGTGATGGTGTGGTTAAGTGTAGTACGGATAGTGTGCAGTCGAATAACCAGCTCAGTGACATCTAGTGCCCCAAAACCTGCTCCACAGTTGGTTACCCCGGTCTTCACTCAGTCAGCCACTCCAGTTGCTCCACCATTAGATTGAAACAGTTTGTCATGGTATTGCAAGGTGAAGCTGGTTAGTGTTTTTCAAACTGTGCTGTGTAAACCCTAATAAAACATTATACTTTTTTTCATATAGCATACAATAAATTCATGTGAATTTATATTTTATTGAGCAATGAATAAATCTTCAACCTTTCTCCAAAAAAATTATATATGGTGTGTATTCTATTCATTCTGGTCTCACTATGACGGATATGTTATCTTTTTATCAATAAATACAGTATATAAAAAGCTTCCACCGATTTTTACTGCAAGACGATTTATTTCAAACTCAAGTGTTTGTTTGGTGGTTCGCCTTCCAAGCTAATACAGTATGTACACTTGGCTATGGTAGTGATTCTTCTGTGTTAAATTCATGTTTAGTTAACAGAATTTGCTAATGTTATTATGCTTCAGTTTCTCTGTACAGTACAGTATTAATAGAAGTGTGCAACTGTATAGTGACTAACTCCAGCCTGTATATACTGTACAATGCAGTTTCAGTTAAATTGCCACCAGTGCATGTACTGTATTTCATTTGTATATTAAAATTTTTTACCTTTGGGTTATTTTTAGCATAATTTTCAACCTTTATCCCAGTTTTCTCATGATAATTAAAAAATAAAATGGAAATAAATTTGGGGAGGGAAAAATTTAATTTTGAGATAGAGTATACATAAATTATACTATAAAATGGAATAAAGTGTGCAGGAAGATTCCTCTAAATTGAATACCTGTACAATTATGCCTCTGGCAGTGAAGTGGATATTGTATTCATGAACTCCACCTTGTCCTTGGAATATTTTCCAGAGTGAGATTTAAATGGGAATAGGTTCCAGTCCCTTGTTATTCTGTATTTAGCATTTTCAAAATATGAATAAAAAGTGAAATAATAAACAATAAAAATGATACATGGCACATAAGTTCAGTCAACCAGCCGTGTGTTTGCCGTGATATCACTTGGGGCCCAGGGGACGGAATGCAGTGTTGGCTGGCTGGCGAGTGGCTACGCAGTTACAGTAGCCCACTGCCTCCACACATACACACCCATGCTCTACATTTTTCTTATCTTATAGTTTATTTTATTATATTTTCTTTATTTTTAAGTCAAATTAGAGTATTTAAGTGATTTTTCCATAACTTTTTGTTTAATTACATGTAACAATGGCAATGTACATAACCATTTCATAGCTGATTGGGAACATATGGGGATTTCTATAATTACTTATAATGGTAACTTTACATGATACTAGATGCTTTTCACACTTTTCATATGTCATTCTTGGGGACTGAGTGCTTAGGCAGTAAGTAGACTGTTGGAAACCACTCGTAAAAGTACTGAGAGAGTGAAAGTGGGTTGTCAGCCCACCTGACAACCGTTGGAACTGGCAAAAATGCCAGACAAGGCCATGAACCTATGTTTACATTCCTAACCATCCAAACATACACATCTTTTGATTTTACACATACATATATCGTATGTTTAGGATTTTTAGCAAAATAACTCATACAAATTGGATTTAGCACTCACTTTAGGCATGTTGACAAAGATATACTGTACTTGCACACACGCCGGGAGATTATGTAAAACCTGGGCGACCACAACAATGTGTAGTGAGGCACAGTGGAAAAGTGACTGATTGCAACAGAACAATGATGTGTTGGGCAGTACTAGAAACTCGCTTCATCTAGTGGAGGGCTCCGCTAGATGGAGAAGCAAATTGACAACTAATAAAGCCATGAGAGGCTTACTTTCAGTAAAGTTCTATACCAGTAGCATCTGGTGTTTTTAGGGCCATCCAAGTATTAACCAGACCCAACATTACTTAACTAAGCTGATCAGACAGGTAGTTTTTTTTCCAATGTAGTATTACTACTACAGTAGGGTTGGGATATATCGCGAGATAGGGTCTAATGATGTTCGCTATACTGTATACTAAATCGCGATTTATAATTACATGTAATCAATGGGGAAAGTAGGGTTAGGTTCTGGAGGCCCCAAAAAAGTAACTAAACTTGACATAAAATGGCACAGACTAAAGTTAGCAGAATATAAATATCATTGCTGGAATCCTTGCAAGACAGTGAATAATTTGAATACACTGTAGACATCATATATTTTGCACAAAAAATAAAAAAATTTCGTCTTTTATAGTACATTTAAGCACTGTACAGTGTACTATGTACTGTACAGTTTTTCAACTCGTATTTTGGGGGGGATTTTTAGGAGTGTTTCTGACTTTTTATACGGCTTTTGGTTATATGTGAGGTCCCAGGAACACAACCCCATGGAAGAGGTGAGTCTACTGTAAATAAATTTGATATATATTGGAAAAATGTCGATAATTTTGGTAGTCGCGATAAATTTTAAATATTTCCTATCCTATTTCCCTAGCGAAATAACTCCCCTCTCCTCTTTAGCTATATGAGCTTGAGGCCCTTGATGTAGAACTTTTACACATGAAGATTCACTGTTAGAGGATGATGACTGCAGAAACATGGTAACTATCGTGTTGAGGGAAAGCTCTTATTTAGACTAGCAGTTTTGACATGCTCAGTAAAGATATTTACACAATCTGTACAAAAAATTCCTAGTCATATTATATACTGGGTATCTGTATACTGTAATTGTGTGGTAAACACGTCTTCGTGCTGCTCTACTAAGCCATGTTCGATCTCTGGGCAGATCAAATGAGTTTCCACGACAGTTCTGGTCAAATGGTGGAATAGAAAATCTCGACTTGAGTAAGCCTACATGAACCAGACAGGCATCATCGCTTACCAGGGGGCCCCTTCCTTGTGTGGCATTGCAATGAACATACACCTAGAAATTTCACAAAGGCAGAATATTTGGTTGTTGGCCCCACCCCAAAGGTGTAGTGTAGTTGCTGTGTTGTAGTGGTATAGATTTAGTGAAGTGCTGTCTGTAAGAAAGTATGGACAGCAACCCAATAATATGCAGCGAGTATGGAAGGTGGGTACACTGTACCCAAGAGGTGCATTGGTGTAAATAGTAGACTGCAGGATGATGCTGACTTAAAGTAAGTTGTATGTGCAGGTAATCGTGTGGCATTAATAAGGCTGGAGTTACTCAACATTGGGGATATGTCCCTGGACGGTGTTGAGTTGTTACCTGAGTAACAATGAGCAGTGCTGGAAGTGGTGCTGAGCTAATACCCGAGTACAATGAGCAGTACTAAACTAGTACCTGAGTAACAATGAGCAGTGCTGGAAGTGGTGTTCAGCTAATACCTGTGTAACAATGAGCAGTGCTGAGCTAATACCTGAGTAACAATGAACAGTGCTGGAAGTGGTGTTCAGCTAATACCTGTGTAACAATGAGCAGTGCTGCAAGTAGTGCTGAGCTAATACCCTGAGTAACAATGAGCACTGCTGAGCTAATACCTAAGTGATAATGAGCAGTGCTGGAAGCCTGGAAGTGGTGCTGAGCTAGTACCTGAGTAACGATAAACAGTGCTGGAAGTGGTGCTGAGCTAGTACCTGAGTAACAATGAACAGTGCTGGAAGTGGTGCTGAGCTAGTACCTGAGTAACGATGAACAGTGCTGGAAGTGGTGCTGAGCTAGTACCTGAGTAACAATGAACAGTGCTGAGCTAATACCTGAGTAACAATGAACAGTGCTGAGCTAATATCTGAGTAACGATGAACAGTGCTGGAAGTGGTGTTGAGCTAATACCTGAGTAACAATGAACAGTGCTGAGCTAATACCTGAGTAACGATGAACAGTGCTGGAAGTGGTGCTGAGCTAGTACCTGAGTAACAATGAATAGTGCTGGAAGTGGTGCTGAGCTAATACGAGTAACAATGAACAGTGCTGAAAGTGGTGCTGAGCTAGTACCCAAGTAACAATGAATAGTGCTGGAAGTGGTGCTGAGCTAATACCCGAGTGACAGTGAGCAGTGCTGAGCTAATACGAGTAACAATGAAGTGCTGAAAGTGGTGCTGAGCTAGTACCCAAGTAACAATGAACAGTGCTGAGCTAATACCCGAGTGACAATGAGCAGTGCTGGAAGTGATGCTCAGCTAATACCTGAGTAACAATGAGCAGTGCTGAAACTAGCTGATTTTAAATCACCACTTCTCGTCTGATCTATAAAGTTAATTAACATTGAGTCTGGTTAGTACTCTGATGGGGGACTGCCTGGGAACACCAGATACCATTGGCATAAGGACCCTACTGGAAGTAGCGCCTCATGGCGTTGTTGGCTATCCTTGGTCAAGTTGCTTAAATATCAATTAATATTATTATTTAAAAGTGGCTAGAAGAAGTTTTGGGAGTTGCTGCCTTTATTGTTGGAAAGAAGACTTTCTTTCCATTTGAAAGGAAAGATGTATGCAACTGGCAGAGAAGCATGGTAAGTTAAAGAGGATGAGACTGTTCAGGGATAAGAAGACTGAGATGGTTTGGGCATGTTAAGAGAATGAAGACCAATTGGGTCAAGAAGTGCACAAGTTGGAATATGGAGAAGAGAAGAGCATGGAGTAGGCCAAGAATGAAAGGGGAGAGGTTGTAAGAAATTTCTTCAGAGATAAGAACCTAAAGAAAGAGGCTGCTAGAGACAGTGCAACATAGAGAGCTTCCACTGGTTAATCACAACTGACCAACATAAGATTGGAAAATGGATGTAAGATGGTGATGATAAAAATGATGTGTATAGTAAATAAGACAAGTTTTATTTAAGTGTTTTTATTTTTCTATTACAGGAATATTATTAGATTATTAGCATATTACACATGTTACTTGTTTTAAGTAGACATGGAAACAGGGGGCAAGAACACATCTCTATTTCTTATGTCCAAAAGTGCATAACAGAGACGTGACCAACCACCCAAGTGGCTAACGAGGCGATCAGTGTCGAGGAGGATAAAGTAAAAAATAAAGGTCTCCCTCACATACAGCAAAGATAAATTGTATAATAATTACAACGGGGGTAAATTCTTTTTTAAAAGATAGATAGTTTTACACTGCCTTAAACCCTTTCGCTAACAGCTAGTGGTCCAAATCTCACCCGCAGGTAGACCGAAGACACTACAGGTACTCCCCGACTTACGACGGGGTTAGGGACCGACATCCAGGTCGTAAGTCGAAATGGTCGTAAGTCGGAAATGCTTAAATAACACATAGAAAATCAAATATTTGGGTTTCTTTTTCTTTTCAGCACCACAAAACACTCACTTTTAAGCTTGCCAGCCCATTTTAAAGTGAATTACAGATGAAAATTTTGTCTGTGTGCTGACTTTGGGACTCAAAAATACATAATTTGACCACATTTTGGTACAACTGAGGTCGTAAGTGCGGGTGAACGTAAGTCGAGTCGGTCGTAAGTTGGGGACTACCTGTATCTGCATCATCCAAAATGCATAGATTTTTCACTTAATTTATTTTTCATTTGCTATTTATGGGTAAAATTGCATTGCTTTTGTTTTTAATAGAGTTGAAAGGATAAATAATCTAACTTTAAAGAGAAAAATTATCTGAATTAAAAAATAGATAAATTATCTAAGTGATAAAGAACAAAATACAGTCGACCCTCGTTAATTCGGACTAATAGGGGGGGAAGGGTGTCCGATTTAGCCGATTGTCTGAATTAACCGATTTAGGGGTTAATATTGCATTATATTTCAAAGTCATTGTTTTCGTCACGATTTTATCCCACTTTCCACTGTAATACGTACGTAATTTCAGCAAAAATATTACATTTCCGTGAATGTATTATATCAAGCACAGTACGAATAGAATATCATTGTAATATAACAGCATTTTAATCGAAAACTAGTAAAAAAACCAATAACATCTCAAGAACATCGGAAGCTTAGGTGAAGTCTTTTGTTTTCGTCATGTATTTTATCCTATTTTACATTGAAATACATCACGTTTCAGCAAAACTACTATTTATTTCCGAGAATATATTCATTCAGGCGCAGTTTAGGTAAAATATACGTGTGATGTAACAGTTTTTTAACTGAAAACGATTCGAAAAACATGCACCCTCTAGCCCTGTTCAAGGAGAGGGCTGGGAGAAGCTATTTGGTGCTGCAGACGATGACAAGGAAAATGATTTGGATGGATTTTAATGAAAATATTCAGAAATATGGTATCGTAGTATTTATTCAAGTCAATTAGGATAGAATATTATTGTAATACAACAGTGTTTTAAATGAAAACCAATCGAAAAGCGATTACGGTAACATCTTTTGAACGAAAGAAAGCGAAAGTCATTGTTTTCGTCAAGATTTTATCCCACTTTCCACTGTAATACGTACGTCAATTCAGCAAAAATATTACATTTCCGTGAATGCATTATATCAAGCACAGTATGAATGGAATACCATTGTAATATAACAGTATTTTAACCAAAAACTATTAAAAAAACGAGTAACTTCTCTTGAATATCGGAAGGCTAGGTAAAATCTTTTGTTTTCGTCATGTATTTTATCCTATTTTACATTAAAATACATCACGTTTCAGCAAAACTACTATTTATTTCCGAGAATATATTCATTCAGGCACAGTTAAGGTAAAATATACATGTGATGTAACAGTTTTTTAACTGAAAACGATTCGAAAAACACGTGTACCGTCTAGCTGATACTCAACAGCTGATAGTGCGTCATGCGTCGTTGTAAACAATAGGAGGTTGAAGTAGATTACCGGGTATTATATTAAGTGTGAAATATCAAAAAGGTTTTTATTACCGGTATTTTTTGTAGATCAATGAGAACTGTGATACCGTATATGATATAATAAGTTTGCCTGTGCTTAGAACTTCAACATAGACTACTGAAAACACATTGTACGGTAATTTAGCCTATTGTAAGTTGGTGAGCTTCATTTGCTGAAGGAACTGCACAACTTTTCATTACTAATTGGTACATATTTTACGTTTTCATTGTTTACTGGCAGTAAATGGTAAATATTTTTCATGTCTGAAGCTAAAGTTGCACCCCCCCCCCCCACACTAGTGGCGGAGATGTTACATTTAACCAAAAAGACGCTGGTGTTTTATCCCAGCATTTTAGCTTAAGGTCCGCATAGGTACTATTCCTAAAAAAAAAAAAAAAGTTCGTTCAGATTTTGTCCGAATTTTTTGAAATCCGGATTAAAGGGGTCCGAATTAACGAGGGTCGACTGTAGTTGTATAATTGTTATGGGATGGCTGAAAAAGAGTGTGGGAAGATAATATCTTATGTGCTGGTTCCCTGTGCGAGTGGTCTGACCAGTGTTATCGCTCAGGATCAAGGGAGATCTCTCGCTCCCCGTGGCCCATGTAGTGACGTAAATAGTGTCATCGGCCAGGAAAAGGGTTAATACTAATTCATAAAAAGATAACTTGCTGCATCAAGTATTCACAGCTAACCCATAAAAGCATGAAAAATGGCTATAAAATGACGATGATAACTGGACATGTGCATGTTAGATAGGTCTAATATATGTTTAGACTCGCCATTCACAATGTAGTACAGGTTGTACCTCTCTAGTCCGGCATTCTGTGGTCTGGAAACTCCCATGGTCCGGAATGACTTTAGTTTGTCAAATAGGAAGATAAGCAGCTTTTTTTTTTTTTTTTTTATTTATTTTTTTTTTACATACAGTTGTACCCCACTTAACGCGGTCAATTGAACCCAGAGGGTCGCGTTAAGTGAACAACAGAACATATGGGATTAATTCCAATAGAAACCGGCCCGACCCCCAAACTCCACTTTTTGAAGGCACATACCTATGTTGTAGTAAAAATAACATCTTAATTTTATGATGGTACATGCACACAATTAATACTTAAGAGAAATAGAGAAATACAGTCGCCAAGTTAATGTCCATTCAAATAATGGACTCAACTCCCTCCCACTCTCACACTACACTGCCGGCTCTTCCCTCTCAGAGAAATTTTTGGGGGAAAACCACTAAATTTTAATAAATAATACCTCAAACTAAAGTTAGGATAATACAATTGACATTGCTGGATTCCTTGTAAGACCAGGAATATTTTGAATATAAATGTCATATATTTTGCACAAAAGATAACATAGTTACCTAGAGAAAAATTTTTATCTAAAATTTGTATGTTTAATGCAAAATATATGATGTTTATATTCAAAATGATCACCAAATTATAAGAATTCCAGCAATGTAAATTATATTCTGACCGGGTAATTTGTATGAATTTTATGAGCTAAAACAAATATCTTCAGTTAATAAAAAAAAAAATAATTCTTCACGGGGTAACAGATGGTCGGTCGGTCCCTCCCTCCCCCCCACCCCCCACCAACCGTCCCAAGGAGATGTGTGGGATAACCACTAAATTTTAATAAATAATACCTCAAACTAAAGTTAGGATAATATAATTGACATTGCTGGATTCCTTGTAAGACCAGGAATATTTTGAATATAAATGTCATATATTTTGCACAAAAGATAACATAGTTACCTAGAAAAATTTTTATCTAAAAATTGTATGTTTAATGCAAAATATATGATGTTTATATTCAAAATGATCACCAAATTATAAGAATTCCAGCAATGTAAATTATATTCTGGCCGGGTAATTTGTATGAATTTTATGAGCTAAAACAGGCAGTCAGGCAGGGTGGCGGGTGGGGCAAATCTAAAAATAGCGTCTCGAGCCGGACACTCACCGCGTATATGTGGAAAAAATCCGTGTTAAGTGAAAGTTCTGCTCTGGCGAGGCACCGCGTATATGATAAAACGCGTTAAGTGAAACCGCGTTAGGCGGGGTAATACTGTATCTGCATTATTGTTATTATTACTGGAGTATTGCATTTTCGCCCCTCAGGCTCCAATGTGGGTCAGTGACCTGTGCCCGGGTGGGCTAACCCCCGTAAAAAAACAACAACAACAAAGCCGCGAGAAATTAAGGTTTGTTTACATCTGGCAGTTCGGCTCTCTCTCTCTGTTTGTCTATACAGTACAGAGTACAACATTTAACCCTTCAATATATATGAACAGTAAATAAGTGTTGCTTTCATATTCTTATGTAGAATAATGACGATATGTTTTTCACATGTGTGCACTTACATACGCGCAGTCTCACTTTTTTCTTTAACATTAATGGTTAGCTACTTTTATTGTTCTATTTATTAACATTAAATAACATTACTTAAAACAACCATATTAATTTTTTACATTAATTTTACTACAGCTACAACCAGGGTCTTATTTTCTTGTTTTATATGTAGAACCACTCAGTCACTGGTTTTGTTATCAACGAAGACAATGCTGTCTCATTTCCTCGCGTGTTTTAATATTCTACGTATTATTAATGATTGTATTGCTCATTTTGCACACATAAACATTAATTCAATAAAAAAGACATTCAGTAATAAACAATAATGAATCTTTTGTACATAAGAGAAATGATGCTGTTTACACGATTGTGCACGTCGTCTGAACGTTGGTGAGCCGTTCAAACCCGTCAAAATTCGAGTTTCCGCCGTCAAAATTTTCAATTTTGTAGTGTTTTTTTTGTGTCCAAATAAAAAACGGTGAATCAAAAACTCGTGAAATTTGAGAAGCTACTGTATGACATTTAACCCTTCAATATGTCTTTAAAGAGACCACGAAGCAGTGAAAGTGGTGCTAACTTAAGCGCAAGTCACTATCTGTCCAGGAAAAGGGTGAATTTCCATGGTCCGGCACCGGTCAGGTCCTGAGGTTGCCGGACTAGAGAGGTACAACCTGTACACGCAATAAAAAAATATTTTTACATATTTTGCTAGACAATATGACACAACAAACAAAAGATTTTGACAAAACTTAATACAGTAGACACCAAGATGTCAATACAGTATAGTATAAAATTTCTCAATAAAAATACAGGGTGTAAACAACACGTCGGATAATACTGTACAGTATTTTTAAATAATTTAACATTTAAACTTAACTTTTTAAAAAATTACAGTTTGCTTTTACAGTTACGTACGAATGTAGTATAAATATTTACAGTACTTAAGAACCCAAATATAATACATTGTCAATAATCCTTTAACATAGTCACTTATGGTTTTGCTGTTAGTGTATGTCCTGTTGACTAAGAAGCTGAACCACACTCCATCATCCTTGTATTCATCATAAATGCATAGTAAATTTGCCTGGCTTTGTTATTTCATCTGCCATACAATTTTATATGATTTTATATTTTACATATTATTGGCATAAAGGTTTGTTTTACATCTTCCCTTTCCTTTCATACATCCATTTCTCATATGCAGATGCAAATGTGCATGAGAAATCAGAAATAGTATGAGGGAAAGTAGTATTATACAATTCCTGAAGAATTGTTGCATCTTCCAAAGCACTATGGCATCGATATGATTTTTTAAGGAACTTGCGTACAAGGGTATTTTGCTTGTAGTTATTGAGTCCTGGATACTCTGTCTTAAACATACCTAGGGTGTCAACAAACCCAATTATATGTTGCTGAAACTGTTCCACAAGATTCTCCTTCTGAATTACATGGAAGAATCGTTGATAATCAAAACTGGCATTATGGGCGTAAAGAAGTACAGGTGATCTTAATTTTATCCATTCTAAAAAATTATGTAAAGCAAATGCTGGAGTCTTTGCATCTAGAGGCTTACCACGAAGAGTCAAGACTCCATTAATAACAGTGATTCCTGTCATATTTGATGCCATATAATGTATTGGCTGTTTTGGAATGATGAATTCATTAAAAGTTGCATCCTTATCTGCTGCAGCAATTTGTATAATATCACAATCCAATCTTAAAGATGTTGTTTCCAGATCAAAGAAGACTTGACTGGTATGCAATGTTTCTAAGACTGCTTGAAGAACTGGCCGTTGTTTTACTGGGAGTACTTTCTGAGCTTCAACATCTTCATGAGAGTCATCAGAAGGTTGGGACTTTATTTCTTCTGGAGATTGTGTAACCAAAACTTGTCTGGCAAGGTCAACATTTTCACCTCGACGCAACCTCTTCACATTCTTAGTTTCCGGGAATTCTTCATCTTTCACTTTTCTTTTATGACTGGACTGGCATTGACCCAATATATGTTGTTCTTTCAATTTTGATTTATTAGTCTTATCCATTGTTTTTTTATCTTTCTTCATTCTGCAACCATCGAGAAAATTTTATTAGTCAGTAAACCTGGGTACCTCAGATTTCAAAAGCTTCAAAGACTTAAAGCTATTACTGTAATGTCAATTTAGTAACAACTTTGTATATTGAAATAAAACAAGATGACTGTAAGTTGAGATGCCAGAAATATATCATTATGAATAAAATACAATATACTGTATAATTATTATAAATCTCTCTCAAAGTAGATTGCTTTTACCTTTTCCTTCACTTTCTTTAAGTTTAGTAATACATTTCATGTTACTTAAGTTAAATAGTGAATAAAAATCGAAAGACATATCTTTATAGTTGAAGTATTTCTCTCTGATTACCAGCTCATTCAGACACAAGTTAGTGTTAGTTTTCAGCCAAAAAGGTATTGAACCACTTAATCCTTTGGTTAATATATTTTGAGCTACGTTTTAAGAAATGTACTACAGTCGGCCCTTCACATACGCGGGTTTAGCATTCACGGATTCGCAAATGCGCGGACTGCCCCGCCAGAGGAATATTCTGTACATTGAAGTAATTGAAGTACATTCAAATCGCGCGCCATTCAACTCGAGCGCGGCACCGAACACCGCCCGCTCCCGCAACCTCACACACACGCATAGCTCTCCCTCACTCAGTCAGTCTCGCTGTAAGCACACTTGTGTTGACATCAGCATTGTAGTTGCAAAAATATTACATTTCCGTGAATGTATTATATCAAGCACAGTATGAATAGAATATCACTAATATAAGAGTATTTTAACTGAAAACTACTAAAAAAACGAGTAACATCTCTTGAACATCGGAAGGTTAGGTAAAGTCTCTTGTTTTCGTCATGTATTTTATCCTAATTTACATTGAAATACATCACGTTTCAGCAAAAGTACTATTTATTTCTGAGAATATGGAAATGAAATATTTTGCTGAAATGACGTACGTATTACAGTGGAAAGTGACGAAAGCAATGACTCGCTTTCTTTCGCTCAAAAGATGTTACCGTAATCGCTTTTCAAATGGTTTTCAGTTAAAAAACTGTTGTTGTATTACAATAATATTCTATCCTAATTCACTTGTGATGCAACAGTTTTTTAACTGAAAACCATTCGAAAAGCGATTACGGTAACATCTTTTGAACGAAAGAAAGCGAAAGTCATTGTTTTCGTCACGATTTTGTCCCACATTCCACTGTAATACTTACGTCATTTCAGCAAAAATATTTCATTTCTGTGAATGTAGTATATCAAGCACAGTATGAATATAATATCATTGTAATATAACAGTATTTTAACCAAAAACTATTAAAAAAACGAGTAACATCTCTTGAACATTGGAAGGTTAGGTGAAGTCTTTTGTTTTCGTCATGTATTTTATCCTATTTTACACTGAAATACATCACGTTTCAGCAAAATTACTATTTATTTCCAAGAATATATTCATTCAGGCGCAGTTTAGGTAAAATATACGTGTGATGTAAAATTTTTTTAATTGAAAACGATTTGAAAAACACGTACCCTCTAGCCCTGTTCAAGGAGAGGACTGGGAGAAGCTGTTTGGTGTGGCAGAAGATGGCAAGGAAAATTATTTGGCTGGATTTTAATGAAAATATTCAGAAATATGGTATCGTAGTATTTATTCAAGTCAATTAGGATAGAATATTATTGTAATACAACAGTAGTGACGATGTGGAGGAGGCGGAGGGATAGAGCGGGGACGAGTGGAGATGCCAGCCAGTACATTACGGGTGTATTAATTGTTTTTATGGCTATTTTTGCATTTTAATGTTAAATACTGTACATTACGTTTCAACAAAACTACCATTTATTTCTGAGAACATGGAAATGTAATATTTTTGCTGAAATGATGTACGCATTACAGTGGAAAGTGACGAAAGCAATGACTTTCGCTTTCTTTCGTTCAAAAGATGTTACCGTAATCGCTTTTCGAATGGTTTTCAGTTGTGGGATTATAAGGATAGAATATTATTGTAATACAGTACGAGTACAACAGTTTTTTAACTGAAAACCATTCGAAAAGCAATTACGGTAAAATATTTTGAACAACGAAAGAAAGCGAAAGTCTTTCGTCATGATTTTATCCCACTTCCCACTATAATATGTACGTCATTCCAGCAAAAATATTACATTTCCATATTTATTTCCGAGAATATATTCATTCAGTCACAGTTAAGGTAAAATATACTTGTGATGTAATATTTTAATGAAAATCCAGTATCGTAGTTTTCTCTTGTTTCAAATTTAATTAACAAAGATTGATGTTTCAAATGTAATGAACAAAAATTTATGTCCAGTATCTATAAATTAACTTTAATAAATGGATACTTTGTTTTACATCGTCCTGTGCTACCATACCATGGATTTGGCCTTGTGTCCATGATTTGGCAAGAATTTCACAAATCTCTCAACAGGTGTGTCATGCTCCATGTATCTGATTATCAGAGTTAGTTCATCAATATGGCCTTCATCAGGGGTGAAATCTAGAGAAATTGAGTAATATTTTGAGAGCTTTATACGTGAGATAATTTCGTTCAGTACTTCATTTCCCATTAGTCTGATAATTTCTTCACAGATGGTTGAAGACAAATAGTTTGTATGACCAGTGCCATGATTAGCATGATTCTGGATGTGTTGCCTGAAGAAATCATCATACTCGGCCAAAAGCTCTAGTAGTCCCAAGTAATTTTCATTATGAGGAGATCCAATTATTTCATCATCTCCACGAAGAGCTAGCTCTCTTTCACATATAAATTTAAGCACGCTGATCAATCGCTTTAGAAGACTACACCAATACTGCTCAATTTGACCCACATGTGTAGTTAGTTTAGAATCTATACCTCCAGCTCCCTTTGCATTGTTTGCATCTTTTTGTACTGCTAATTTTGCATCCAAAAATTTAGCATCACTGTGGTGGAGACTCTCAGAACCGTTTGCAGCCCAATAATCAATAAATTGTTTTGTCAAATGCTCTGACCATAAGTTAATGTCAATGTCATAATTTTGTGTAGTTGCCATTTGCACTTCAGGAGGCACATGCTTTGATTCAATTTCAATCTCCTCGGCAGTTTGGTCATTTCCCCCTATAGATAGGCTAGAGCTGCCATATAAAGAGGAAGCTGATGCATCACTTGCAGGTACTTGTTCTGGTTGCCCTGAAGATGAGCTTGCAGAAGCACTGACTAGATGTCCTGAAGCTGATGGACGAGTGAAGAATTCAGTCAGTCGACATGTTTTTGTAAATTCTTTAGCTTCTCTCTCAGCACGTTCTTTAGATTTCTTTCTCTTTGCAGCACCACTTTCGAAACATCGTACACCTTTGTGTCTGTCCATTCCACTCATTTCCGCAACAATAATTTTCTGTCAACAAAGACGGACACCTAATTTTTCGTTATAATTAAAAACGTAACACAAATTGGCCGTTTGCTTTTTGCTACTTTATGGAGAGGTTAATTGATAACTTAACTCCCTGAAACATTTGGACGCCAGCATATTTTTAAAATTTGGAATTTTGGGTAAGATTATGACCTCTTCCTCTGACTTCTCCCAGTCCCACCCCTAAAGCTCGCCGTCGGTTCGCCTCCTTTTCACCATTGACTGTACTGTGTTATACTGTATATACTGATCGTGGAACTGACAGAAACCGTCATTGACATAGTTAATGTACTCAAAATACATAAAAATAACTCAACTTACTTGCAGCCAATCGACCTGTAGTATCTTAAAGCACAATTATATATGTGAACGTATATTCTAAGAGCACACCCACCCACATTCATGCACAAGCATCAATCGACTTTCTCTCACTCGCACTCTCACTGTACATTTGCAAGACATATGTTCTAGGAAATGACAACTGACAAGATCATTCATCACTGAGCGGCGACGACTTCACTCAACAAGCACACATGACAATTCCCTCTCTCATTTTACATCTGCAAGACATGTTTGTGTCTACTCGTGGGAAGTTCACGAATCATGGGTGACACAAGTCTCATCTATAATCGACAGACACATGACAACCGATGTGCAGATACTACACGACCCAACCCCCTCCGACCAACTGTCAACAAACACAGCGCCCTGATGGCATTCGTAATGGAAGTGATAATGAAAAAAAAAAATTTTTAATCTCAATTTCGTTATTCCACGTAGTTCATTTTTAATCAATACATGTTTGTGGAATTCTAAATATATTATTAGCAACACAAACAATAGCATTCATTAAAAATATACGGTACATAGGAAAACCAGGTATTCATGAATTTCAAGGAGTAGCTAGCCTAACTTCTATCACGCTTCTTGCTGAACATAGTTTTACGTGATGGAATAGATAAACATAAATTTTAAAGAATGAAAATAATAATAATCCAAATGAATAAACAAATAAATAAAACATTGTAATATGTGGAGGTCCCCAGATTGTGAAGGCCCCTGGGCAGCTGCCCACTCCTGAATCCAGCCCTGTGTATAGGTACAGTATACAGTATTACCCCGCTTTACGCGGTTTCACTTTACGCGATTTCTCATATACGCGGTGCCTTGCCAGAACCGAACTTTCACTTTCCGCGGTTCATCTACCCATATACGCGCAGAGTGTCCGGCTCGACGCTATTTTTAGATTCGCCCCACCCGCCTGCTCCCTCCTCTGCCTGGGCAAGCCGTGCGGTAAGGTTGCGCAGTGCATGTCTCTGTTGCGTTATCACTGACGTCATATGACGTATCGGACTGTGATTGGCCATGCATCCCTACCCCCCTCTGCTGCTAGCTGTAATTGGTTTAAAGTAATATGACGTGTCCACCCGGGAAGGGAGGGAGGAAGGAAAGACGACGCTTGACCTAGCCGCGGCAGTTTCATCCCTCCAGGCCCCGTATGCCGACCCATCTCTTCTACTAACGTAAGTGTTACACCTAACTTTTAGTTTTCCTAACCTAACCTTTATTTTTCCTAACTTAACCTTTATTTTTCCTAACCTAACCTCTTCTATATTACTTGTTTGTGCATACCATCATAAAGTTAAGATAAAATTTTTACTACAACATAGTTGTGTGTCGTCAAAAAGTGGAGTTTGGGGGTCGGGCCAGTCTCTATTGGAATTAATCCCATATGTTCTGTTGTTCCATTTACGCGGATTTCACTTTCCGCGGTACCCTGTGGGTTCAATTGACCGCGTAAATCGGGGTACTACTGTATAATATTTATCATTTCAGCACTTATGAGATTCTTATTCCCAGTAGTGTCCTTTAGCTTAAATGCCAACAGCATCTGGTGTTCCTGGCAGTCACCCATCCAAGTACAGGATACTTACCAGACCACAATGTTGGTTAACTTCACTGATTAGACTACCACACCACAATGTTGCTTACCTTCACTGATTAGACGATATTTTCAGTGTGGTATGACCTTGTGCTGTTATTTGGTCAGATGTTAGTTTGGTATTTCCTGAAAAATTACAGAGGAAAATAATGTTATAAAGTATCAATAAAAATATCAGAAATACTTTATGAATATAACAAAACTTAATTATCGCAACAATATTTAAACAGCCTATTAAGTGCATCAGGTAACCATATAATTTCCAAAATGATTATAATTTAATATACTGTACAGTAGGATCAACAAATCAAGACTGGACAAATTCATACAGAAGAATAAGTGAACATTTTAATGGAAAATAATGGTACCTGAACAAAAACTTGTTTCATTTATCATATCCATGTCACACCTTGATGTACAGTATTGTATTTAAAAATTGGGAAAATGAATATTAGTGCATCCTACTACAAGATCAAGACACAACAACGAAGACCTACTGTAACTCTTATGACAATCAACAAGGATTAAAATTTCCACCTAAAATTTCTGAATCAAGGAACCCGAGTCCAAAACATAAAGGAAGAATCCAAACAAAAAAGAAGCAATATCAACGTAGCAGGACAATGGACCACCACATCATGCTCTTATGTACAGCATAAATTTTATGATGAAGCAAGTCACTGGAAGCAATCTTGTATGAGTCACTATAAGTACAGGACAGGTACTTCTATATTTATAAGTCAGGGAAAAAATGAGCAAATTCCTATTCCTGCCTATAATTTGTTATGTTCTTGATTAAAGGGAGAAAGAAGTTGTTTCAATACAAAACTAGTTAAAAGTATTCGGTTTACACAAAAAATATGGCAATACGGATGACACAATGGATGAAGGATTTTGATAACCCTTCATGGTGAAATTCACCGGACTCCTTCCCTAAGATATTTTTTGGAGTGAGCATAAAACTGTAAGTTTTACCCAATGAAACCATTACTAACTAAAAAATTACCATATAAATTTGTTTCCCTCAACTCCAGCCATTTACTTTATGTGGTGCCTAGGAAAGAGTTCATATATACACATTTCCACTTCGTTTTTATTCATGCTCCCTAGCCATATCTTCAACTTTTATATTATTCCTAACCTGTGTGAAACTTATGATCAAATAACAAAGTAAGTGAGCCTAATTTTTACATTTGTTTTCCTCATTGTACAGCCAGCTATAGATGTGCAAATACACTTTGATTGAGATGGTTGGATTTAAGACCATTATCAAGTTTCTTTACTTTATCCTCTTTGCCACTTGGGCACTGGGTCAAATCTGTTAAGTACCCATGCAATGGGTCCGAAAGGCTAGTAAGCCGATGTGGTGAAAATAATATATATATATATATATATATATATATATATATATATATATATATATATATATATATATATATATATATATATATATATATATATATATATATATATATATATATATATATATATAAATATAAATATATATATATACATATATATATAATGCAGGTGTACAAGCGTCACCATAGACAACAAACTAAATTGGAAACCACACATCAGTGAAGTTGTCAAATCCTCCAGTTTCCATTTCCGTCTCCTCCGCCGACACAAGTCCCTCGGAGTTCCTGCACCCGAGCTCCTCAGTGTTTACTCAACATTCATACTTCCCAAGCTCACCTATGCCTCCCCTACCTGGTCTTCCTCCCTAAATGCCACACAACGTAAACACCTCGAAAAAGTGCAAAAGAGGGCATACAAGATTATTCTCTCCCTTTCCTACTCCACATATCAAGAAGCGCCCAAGACACTGACCCTCTCGGCTCTCACTGACCATCACCACGACCTCATCTGCAAATTTGGTGAGAAGCTTCTGCACCATCCTCGACACCAGCTCCTACTACCACCTAAGATCCCTTGCCCGAGAATTGCTGTTCGACACAACCATATCCAGCCCATACAAGCACGAACTGATCGCTATAAGAACAGCCCAGTCCCAACCATTGTAAAAATTATCAATAACTTGTAATCAACCAGCGTATTCACTCCCAGTCAATCTTACTTTTTGTACTGTCAACTACGTATGTTGAAATGCCTTGTACAGTAGTTTGAGCTTCTCCCCACCTAGTTATTATATATCATAGTTGTATCACTTTTGTTACCAGTATATTATTAGTAAATCAAGAGACCCATTCCCCAATTATGTAACTGTATATTTTCAGCCTTCCGGCTGCCATGCTCTTTCAATAAACCGTTAATTATTATTATTATTATTATTATTAGAGTTGTTAAAATTTGGTTTTTAATGAGCTCACACCAGGTGCTATCGTAACACTTTGGTATGATATTCCAAGGGTTCACAAGTCTTAAAAAAAAGAAGAAAAAAAAAAGCACATGCTACAAAGGATATAGGTATGGCAGCCGTTGGTAAAATGTCAATGTCTATTGGTAAGACAGCCTAATGCACATGTGTGGTGGGCAGACAATACAATAATAATTACTAAGAGACCTTTCTGACTAACCTATTGTAATGTAGCTTAACCATTAAGAAAACAGTCCATCAAAATGGGTGCCATAACTAAATCCAGCATGATTTTTAGTGTATGAGTGCAGTTTATCCACTTTGAAAATAAAAGAAGTTTGCACTGACAATTTTCTGGACTTGTGACTTCTTTAACCTGAGGCTGTACTGGTAGCCTCTAGGAATATAGGACATTTGGGCTAAATATGTTTGGTTTGGGCCAGGGTGGTTAGGACCTAATCTGATTACTGTATATCCTATGGACGTTCATCTGTTTTATGCTATTTAATGTAACTTAACCTAACACAACCAGTAATTATTTACATCTTCATAGCCACTGATTTTTCATAGAAAATGAATTTAAAAACACTGCAATTTCACTGTGTTTATAGTGGACACTGTTGTAGTTATGGCAAATGTGTTAAAAAGTGGTTATTTCTAAGTTAAAGAAGACTTCACCAACCTAATCAAAGAAACCTACCTAACTTCCTAGCTGTGATGCTCAACCATCTGAACCCCATTTTTTTGTGGACGTGAGAGCAGCGGCCCGATCCGAGTGGCTTATAAACATGCACTGGCGACTGGCGTTGATCAGAGATGATTGGCTATGTACCGCCGCATCACGTCGAGAAAGACAAAGTAGTGCATGCCTAGGTGCCTAATTATCTACCAAATGAAGCAGTTTCCATAAAAAATTATTAATATATCACAACTCGCCGATGAAAATATAGTAAGAATAAAAACATCAAGACAAATAACTTGTCGGCTGTGAAGTCCTCCATATTATCCAATTGCATAAAACAAATGGTCGTTCGAGTGGGATGCACCCTTAATCAAACCTAACCTAACTGTGGCCACAGCAAAGTCTACTCACCGACCTCTAGTGGGTAGGGATGGGGGCATTCGCTAATTCCAGATTTTATTTTATTTTTTTATTATTTTTTTTTTTACGGGGATTAGCCTACCTAGGCACAGGTCACTTACCCACATCAGGGCCTGGGGCGAAAATGTAATAATAATAATAATAATAATAATAATAATAATAATAATAATAATAATAATAATTCAGATAAGTAAAATTTAAAAAAATACAAAAATAAAAATAGAAACACTAATAATAACAATAATAATAATAATAAGACGGCAATAATAACAAAGAACCATAAAGAAATAAAATAAAAAAAGATCCCGAGTGAGAAACAATATATGTATGTTGTGTTGTCATTGTTAAGAGAAACAATTGAGACCCTGCAATTGTGTGCAATTGAGGCAGAAAGTCAGATCAGCAACCTGGGACTTGGTCACAATTTTCTTGATGTCATATGGCAGCAGGGTCTACCATTAGACAACACATTATGCTTCCAATATCTTCCTAGGCGGTAGTATCTCCCTGTTTGGTAGCAGCCTATCTACTCGACTGAGTTAGGTCTTGTGACTCTCTGAGGTACTTATAAGCTTCTGTTAAATCACCCTTTGTTCGTCTACAGTATAAGCTCGGCATCTGCAAGCGTTCTAACCTCTGGGTAGTAGGGTACCTGAGGGCACCATGAGGCAAGATTCAACAACAAAGGACCTCATCACACTTTTGTTTGGCCTATGTCAACATAATTCCAATATCCTAACACAATTACGTCCTTATAAAACAGTAAAAACAAAGTTATAATATGTCATAACTCCAAAAAACTGCAAATGTCAATGAAAACATACATACCACTCCCAGCTCGACTTGAGTCTTGGCGCCTTTACTGAAGGTGGCAAGTTAATTCAGTGTTACCAGAAACTTTCATATATTTGTCAATTGTGGCTAAATTTTCTGTGGATATTTTTAACCCAATAAAGTAAAAGTAATTAAAATAAGACTATAAAATTATTGTGCAATAAATCGTGTTAACTTAATATGTAGAGTAATAAGAGATGCTACAAACTGGCATAGGCGCGATATTCTCGTCTGTCGAGCTATGATATTCACTTGTGGTATATATATACAGTATATATATAGTATAATACATTAAATACTGAGAAATAAGTGGATTTGGCAGCGATGAAGCAGCTTGTGGGCTTGCTGTTTACTACGGTTTGAAAATTAAAAAAAAATGAGCACGTTCAGATGTTTCAGAACTTAGCGAGAACAGCGGCAGCAGTGTAAGGGAGTCAGCTGACAACCGGTGACTTGGCAAAGCGTGGGGGCGGCATCACATCCCCACTGACAGGAGTGTGGCAGGAGGTGCAGGGCTCACAGTGGCAGGTGGAACGGTGGCAGCTGGACGCACAGGCTTTCTCCTCTGAAGCTTTACTGCATTCTCCAATCATGGCAGTTCCAGACAACCTTACCAAAATTTTCAAGTAAGATTTTTGGAAATGTTAGCCGTTGATTTTCACTTGATTTGTTGGTTGAAATTATCTAGTACTCTTACATAAGTTTCTTCTTTAATGGATAGATGTTCAGAAGAATCGCCATGCAAGTTTATATAGGCAGATTTACGTTGGTTTCGCAGTACTGTACGTAGACAGTGTAGTCTAAGCTGCCCTATGCACAGTGTGGGCATATCTTATATCTATATAAAACAAAGAAGTACAGTATATTTGTTTATTTGTTTGTGTGTTCTCACTTGAATCTCGGACATTACTTTACCGATCTGTAGTGATGGTGGATGGTGTTATGTGTAGTGATAATGGATGGTGTTATATGTAGTGTTGATAGATGTTATATGTAGTGATGATGGATGGTGTTATATGTAGTGATGATAGATGATGTTATATGTAGTGATGATGGGTGGTGTTATATGTAGTGATGATTAGACAGTAAAATAATAACAGTTTAATGCTAAAAAAATATATTTTGCTGTACCGTTGTAGTGAAAAACATGGTGGAACGTACATACACCGTTAATGAACTATTGATGGAAGAAGTTTTGGGGACTGAGCGGTGAGACAATGTGGAGCCTCCCGGAGGGTGGCGTCCTACTGTGGCCTAACGAATGAGCGTTTCTGCTAGTCGATCTATAAAGTGCAGATATAATCGGTCACATCTCTGCCGCATTTTTAGCACTTACACGGCCTGCCAACTAGTCCACTGGGGGTCATCCAGGAATATCAAAAGGGGGGTCCTCGAAGTTGTGGGTGGGGGAACATGGCAAGCACAGCGAGCCCACCCAGCTGGGGGGGGCCCACAGATTTTTATTTATTTATTTATTTTTTTAAGTCTGACCAATATCTTGTGCATTTTGAGGCAATTTTGAAGCCATGTGCAGTTGACATTAGGAGGTATTCTGAGGTCAATAGTAATTACTCTTCACTATACAAAATCTCCTGAGTATAATACAGCATTAAAGAAAAAGTATGGAATTTTCTGATGAAAAGGGGGTCCAGACCCCCTGGATCCACCCCTGGCCCATGTTGATGGTTGGAGATGGTCTTTAACCTCCACAAGCACAGATAACTTGTGATATGATAAAGAACGACTCTCACAGGAGTTACAAATTTTCTGCTTTTGTTTTTGGCATTTTATGAGAAAACCGCTACCACAAAAAGGAGTTGTTCGATTTTGTTAATTTTTTCCACAGATGTTCTTCAGTATAGTAAATATTTTAAACTAGGCAACAATTTTTCATTTGATATATATATATATATATATATATATATATATATATATAATTTTTATTTTTTTTTAGTTTTTCTCGATCTACAATCATAAATCACATGTATTGGGCAGGGCATGAAGGATGAGGGAAATTGCAGGGTAAAACACGGTTCGTTTAGTTATGTTTTTACCTCCACATTTTCCTTCTGCTTTGAAGCCCATTTTTTTAGGTTAATGGTATGAAGGGTCATAAGTCAGTAATTATACATATCTTCAAGCTTTTGCTGTCACTTCTGTATTAAGCAAGAAAAACTGTGTAAAAAAAAATCATGCTTACCCTGGTAAATCATTTGCTGGTGTTTGTGGGATAATTACCAAGAACTTTTTTGTATAACTTGCTGATACTAAAATTGGTGTGTGTACATTGCAGGTATGTTGATGACAACAAGACACGCTTTATTGATGTGCTGCGAGAGGCAGTAGCTATAGAGTCAGTTTCTGCTTGGCCACATAAGCGGGGCGAGATACAGAAGCAGATGGAATGGGCCAAGACAAGGCTGGAGGCTCTCGGTGCCAAGTGTCAGCTGCATGACATTGGCCTTCAGGTACAGTACTCATCTGAAAATTTGACATAAAATTATATTGATAATATAAAATATTTGTACAGCACAGGTAATAATTTTATACTGTGACTATAATATTGCAGTGTACGGTTGCGGAAATATCGTCCTCCGCTCCCTGTGGTAACCTGTGTCCCCAAACAGCAATGTTGCAGTAGTAGTATCACCATTTATGAATGAATGGGTATTGGTCGTATAACGACGGGTGTGATTGGTGGATAGATTTGCTATAGGTCATATAGGTTGGCTGTTTGGAAACATGGGCTACCACAAGGGGTGTGGGAACACATTTCTGCAACTGTACATGGTATACACAAACATGTGTCACTGTAGGGGTTAGTTAATTCTATAGTGTCCTATTTCCCTTATTAACCCCTTGTGTATGGGGTATCCCCTGACCTGAATAAATTCATCTGACATTTGTCAGGTAAAATATAAAAACTTTATAGAATATATATATTCAGTGGTCCCTTGGTTAACGAGCACAATTTGTTCTTGAAGGTTGTTCGTTAACTGAAAAATTCGTTAACCGAAACCATTGTTTCAATGGGTTTTTGGGTAATTGGTTCCAGCTCACCGAAAATTGTCTAAAGTCAGCAAAAAAGGTAGTTAAGTACACTTACTTTGAGGTGTGTATGTAGAAGGCTCCTGGATGATGATGATGATGGGAATTACAATGGGGATGGAGGAGAAGGGAGAAGAGAAGGCATTGGGGTGGAAGAGAAGTCACCTCATGGCGCCATTTTACCCATAAAATTTTAGTTCACTTGGTTTAATTAAAGATTATTTTCTTTAAATCAACACTACACTGCATTATATATTGTCAATAAGTAAAATAAATTTCAAAATAACCAATAATTTGACTGGAAACACAGATAAAAAGCGTTTATGTTGAAGAGAGTCTGAAGCAAGATGTTATCTCCACTGAAAAGACAGAGACTGACGCCTGTATGGTGTGTTGACAGGCTGTTTGGTGCGCTAAAAATTAGTTTCCCTGTACTTAAATTATGTTAAATAATTGTTAAAATGACTAAAAATTTTAATATAAAGACTTTTAAAATTATTGAATAGTACAAACTTCTTGCTATTTACTAAAATAGTAAGGAATATAAGCCCTAGAACCGATTACTGTATTGGCGGACTAATATGACAGCTAGTGTGCAAGCGAAAACATGTTGAGGGGCGCTCGTAAGGAATTCGTTAATCGAGGGAATGCTCGTTAACCGAAGTTAAGAATCTTATGGAAGGTAATTCGTTAACCGAGGGATCACCGTAGAAGTACTGAACAGAATATTGCAGAACCTGGTTTTATAAAATGTCTATTTGGTATATCATTAAACAGCTACCATATGAAATATTCACTTAACTTAACACAGTTCAGAGATAACCCAAGTTCTCCCACTTACTTTAATCATATTCTTTTACATCTCCATTGTCTTCACACCAACATTTCATGTGTCAGATGTAAAATAAAGTGCGGTGAATTAAATTTGTTTTTCTTGGCATAGAATATAATAAGATATTTTTCAGACTCAACCGAATGGAAGCAAGATTCCACTACCACCTGTTCTCTTTGGCCAGCTGGGTACTGATCCCAAGAAAAAAACACTGTGCGTCTATGGTCATCTGGATGTACAACCTGCACTACTGGTAAGACTTGTATCGAATACTGTACTATATTAATTACTTGCACCAAAAGAGTTAAGTGCAGTACGGATAAGGCAGTACTGATGCTAACAGTGGAGGGGGACAAAGAAGGGTGAATGGTATACATTACCATGAATAATCAACAGATTAATTGTGGCTAACATTTTAGAGGACCAATCCCAGTAGATATGATGCTCTCAAATAAGTTGCGCTTTTTTTTTGAGAGCTACCTGAGTATGGGTTGGAGAATGGATTTCAGGTCTCCATATGTTTGTTTAAAAAGAAGTCATAATTTTGGAGGTTGGTACTCATTGGTAGTCTTCAGGAACTAAACCTGTTTTCTTATTAGAAGTCACCTTGATTAATATCTTCTTTTTAAATTTGAGAAACTATATTTTCTTATCAAATGTCAGACATAGGCGAATATTATACTACCTAACTGATTTATCAAATCCCATTTCGGTGGAGCTTGTGTTCAGGTCATAGGGGCTGTCTAATCTTGACTGATGTGATAGTGTAGTTATCTTTGGTTAGTCATCTCATCTTGGGGTTATACTGTTCAAGGTCATTATTTTTGTTTCATGAGTGTGTCGTACAATTCCCTGATTAATTGGGTTTTCCTAAGTCTTCTCAGTAAAATGGTAAATTAACTTGAACTATAGACTACAGTATGTGTATTAGAATCATAATGCAATTAGTGTATGTTCCAACATGTTTCAGTTACTTCACTCTTGGATATTAGTTTTTTTTAAGTGTTCTGAAGATGGACGAGGGGCTGATTACAGTTACTGACCCCAAGTATACCATCAGATAGCTCACTTGCTCGGAGATATTCTACCTTTAAAAATTTTGTGAATTGTCCTTTACCTTCTTAATCAACATGTTAACTTGTACCTTTATTTGAACAAATTTGTAAATCAAAATGCCTGGTGAAGTTTTTATATAGCATGAGAATAAGTATGCATCTGAGAGAAATGAGTGTACAGTAGAAGAAGAATCTGGGGGCTGAATGAGAGTGAACCATTTGGTTTATACAGTACTGCAGTATGAAAAAGTAGATAGAAAAAAGGGATATATAAACTACAGTGGTCCCTCGGTTAACGAACACAATCCGTTCCAGCAGGTTGTTCGTTAACCGAAAAATTCGTTCACCGAAACCATTGTTTCAATGGGTTTTTGGTTCCAGCTCACCGAAAATTGCCTAAATTCAACAAAAATGGTAGAAAAGTTCACTTACTTTGAGGTGTGTATGTAGAAGGCTCCTGGATGATGATGATGATGATTAGAATGGGGGTGGAGGAGAAGGCAGAAGAGAAGGCATTGGGGTGGAAGAGAAGTCACCCCATGGCACCATTTCACCCATAAAATTTTAGTTCTCTTGGTGTATTTCAAGATTTTTTCTTTAAATCAACACTGCACTGCATTATATATTGTCAATATGTAAAATATATTTCAAAATGGCCAATAATTTGCTTGGAAACACAGAAAAAAAGCGTTTAGTTGAAGAGAGTGTCAAGCAAGATGTTACCTCCAGTGAAAACAGAGAGAGACTAACGCCTGTTTGCTGTGTTAAGAGGCTGGATGCCGCGCATTAAACTAGTCACTTTACCTTCAATTATGTACAATAATTGTTAAAATGACTAAAAAATTGAATATTAAACTTTTAAAATTATTGAATAGTATAAACTTCTTGATATTTACTAAAATAGTAAGGAATTTAAGCCCTAGAACCGATTAATGTATTGGCGGACTAATACTAAAGCTGGTTGACCGGCCAGTGCAAGTGAAAACATGTTGAGGTCCGTTCGTAAGAAATTCGTTAACCGAATTTTTGTTCGCTAACCGAATTTTTGTTCGTTAACCGAATTTAAGAATTTTATGGGAGGCAGTTCGTTTACCGAGGGACCACTGTACTGTTATTATAGCATTGTATATTTTATGTTTTACTTCAGGAGGATGGTTGGAGTACTGAGCCTTTTGTCTTGACTGAGAAAAATGGAAAGCTATATGGTCGTGGTTCATCTGACGACAAAGGTCCAGTCATAGGCTGGATACATGCAGTTGAAGCATACCAGAAGACAGGCCAGACAGTTCCAGTCAACATTAAGGTAAAGGGTCGTGATATATATATATATATATATATATATATATATATATATATATATATATATATATATATATATATATATAATTTTTTATTTTTTTTGTCTACATATTGTATTGCAATTGATTATGCCTCTCAGGGTGGCTCCAAAACTAACTTTCTGGTCTTGATACAGTACCTGACTTATTGCCATTTTATTTATTTTTTTGCTTGAATGTGTAGATTAGGTGCCCCAAAGGGGTAAAAAAAAATTAAGATTACTTAATCACATGACAATGCGGTCAAAACTCAACAATCTGAAATTCAATATTTGTATAGCTCTAGAATCCACTCAGTTTTTCTTTTAACATGTGCACCAAGATTCAAGCACGATTTTGGGAGTTTACTGGTTTGTGCTCTTCTGCCACACACAGTCATTGTTTTTCAACCAATTGCATCATATTGTTTGCCTTGACTGTGATAGTGAATTATTTATTTATTCTTAATTCAGAAATTCTTTTATAATAATGGATTCCATGTTGAACAGCATGTTGTTGGAAAAAAAACTGATATTAAGGTACTGTACAATATAATTTTTTTTTGAAATTCTTTGCAGTGAAAAAACAAAGGTATGAATGGCCAAGCATAAATCATTGCATGGAGCAAGGCGAGCAGAGCATTTTGCAATGGTTTATCTTTCTGCCCCTGGCCTGGCATCAGACTTTTCCAGAAAAAGAATTCATGATCAGTCCTCCATTATTACCTAACTTTATTACCAATATTCCACATGTCTTACTGCTTTGTATTTACAATAATTCACTTTGCTTCATATGCCAATTTAGCACAAAATTCTGCATTAAACTCATTAAGGAAAATGAGGTTCTGTGGTATGATATACATTACTTTGTTAATGGCTCAGGTCAGTGTGAATTATTGTATATTAATTTTTTATTCTTATTTTAACAGTTTGTGTTTGAGGGCATGGAAGAATCAGGCTCTGAAGGTCTTGAAGATCTTCTTAAAGCACAAAAAGACAAATTTTTGGCTGGAACCGACTATGTTTGCATCTCTGACAACTACTGGTTAGGCAAGAGCAAGCCCTGCATCACTTATGGTCTACGTGGTATCTGCTACTTCTGCATTGAGGCAAAGTTCTACTGTCCATGGATTAAGTTTAGGTTTTGCTAGCTACTTTACATTGCATATCTATAAACGGTATTATGTTTGAAGAAAACTTCCATCTTGGAGTAGAAGTAAAGTAAGATGGCTTTCATACAACAGAGAAGATTTTTTACGCCATCTTGGATATAGAAGATAGGTTCTGATAGGTAAACATTTGCAGATTGAATGCTGTACCAAGGACTTGCATTCAGGTGTGTTTGGAGGAACTGTGCATGAGGCCATGGCCGACCTTGTCTACTTAATGAACACACTCCTGGATAATAAGGGCAACATTCAGATTCCTGGTAAGAAAATATATTTTTATTAATGTTCTCATATTTTGTAGACTTGACATAAACAGTACTGGGGAATTAATGATATATGGTGAAACAGTCCTTGGTGTTGAAATTCCTTATTTTGTATGACAGTTATGTGGTCAGGAAGTGGGAGAATAGTATGACTTGTTTAGGGAAGAGATTTTTTGGGAGTGGCCTTGGAACTGTGTTGTGCTTAGTTATTGGATTTTTTTTTACCTTTGTCATAATTCCTTTTTAGTACATACCTTGCACTAGGTATTTCATGACATTTTCCTGCTCATTATGGTAATCACTGTTCCAAAATTGGCCAGGGTCCCACTCCTGTGAATCTAGGGCTACTAATCTCTCTTCTGCCTTGTGTGCACAAGTATTCAACCAATGCCCTGTTTTCTATAAAAGTTAAAGATAAAAGGTAAAGGCAAAGCTGTGTGGTGCTGATTACTGGAACCCAAGTTGAAGATTTGCTCCTCACTCTTTTGTCTATTTTAGCCTAAATGAGATGTTTCCTGTATCATTCACTCACAAAACCACCAGTGTAAGCCATTGCTAGAACAAGAAAGGTTTCACAAAACCTCAATAAAGATGGAATAGCATAAATTGTGGTTGAGCAAGCTAAACAAGTAGAGAAATTAAGCTTTGGATTTTAATATTCTGAAATAAAACTGGAAACAAAGATGGTATTTTTATAGAAAAGAAAACTTTGTTTTTGCATGCCTCATTCAAGGTAGCTACCAAACAGGGAGGTACTACCGCCTGGGAAGATATTGGAATAATAATGTATTGTCTAATGGTAGGCCCTGCTGCCACATGGCATCACGAAAATTGTGACCAAGTCCCAGGTTGCTGATCTGACTTTCTGCCTTATTTACACACAATCGCAGGGTTTCAATTGTTTCTCTTACTGTTGACAACACAACATACATATTTTGTTTCTCACTTTTGATCTTTTTTTCATAGTGTGAATAGATAATGGCTTGTCTGGGAAGTAACCAGTATGTTTCCAGAGCTTATAAGGTTTAACCTGTGCCAGGTGGTGAATAACTAAGGGCAAAAATAAACATAGAGTATACAGTACCTAAGAGAATGTATAGCTGCTACTGTACCTCAGGGGTGGAAAATTAATTAAGAGAGATAGCAATTATACAAAAGATATCATCAAAAGGAAAATAGCTTGCTTGAAAGAATTCAAATCTCCTAGAGTGGAAAAAACATAGACCAAGGTGATAAAGGAGGGGGAAAATGAGATTTGCACTCCACTATGATTCTTATTTGGGAAATCCTTAGATCAAAGTAAAGTGCCTGGGGGACTGGAAATCAGTCAAAATTACCAAAGTATACCAGTGCACTGTACTAGAAGGATTGAAAAAGTGCATCAGAAAACTACAGGCCAATCAGCCTAACATTCCATATATGCATAATCTCTGAGAAAATTCTGAGGGATGCCATCATCCAACACAGGCATCACAGGCAAGATTTTGAAGTGGATTAATATTATGGAGTGTTCATTTAGTTTGATAATTGCTAATAAATCCTACTAATTCATAATCTAATCATGCTTACAGGCATAATGGATGAAGTAGTACCAGTAACAGCTGAAGAAGAAAAACTGTATAAGAATATTGATTTTGATGTGGAAGACTATCGTAATGACCTGGGACACGGGCGACTGGTTCATGGCAAGGACAAGGTAAGCTACTGCTTGTTTATTCTTTATTGTTCTTTGTATTGTCATAACTTCTGTGAGTTAAATCACCCCTGAAAACATTCTCTTGGAAAAAATTTATTTTTGGTCATGAGAAGATAACGGTGGTGAAGAGTTTCTATAATGTGAACTTATTAAGTTATGACCAATGGTTCACATGTTTGTGTAGGTTTCAATTGTAAGAAAATATATATGAAATTAAATAAAACAAGTAAAGTACCTTTTCAGATTAAGACTTTGATGGCAAGGTGGAGGAACCCTTCCCTCTCTCTTCATGGTATTGAGGGAGCATTCAGTGAGCCTGGAGCTAAAACAGTCATCCCCAAAAGGGTCATTGGTAAATTTAGTATTCGCATTGTTCCTAACCAGACCCCCGAGTCTGTCTCAAAGGTGACCATTGACTACCTAAACAAGCAATGGCAAAAGCGCAACAGTCCAAACAAGATGAAGGTAAGGCATTTTTTGTATTTTTGTTTACTCTTAAATCTACACACATGCACGCACCCACAATAAATGTTTCGTATCCAGTACCTATGGGACCAGGGAGGTGCTGGTTAATAGAAAAAAATATGGTTGCTGTAAGAGAGGTTTATTATTATCATTATTATTTAATTTATAATTTTTCATTATAAATTTTATTTACTATGTATTATTATTATTATTATTATTATTATTATTATTATTATTATTATTATTATTATTATTATTATTATCATCATCCCCCAGGCATTGATGTGGGTCAGTGACCTGTGCCCAGGTGTCAAAAAATTTTCACATGTGACACCTGGCATTTTCTCCTTTTGATACTGTAGGAGGTATACAGTCCAGGAAGTGAGCAAACTAGTGGGTATTCAGGCATTGTGTTGCTGGGACCAGATGGACTGTAGGGTCACATGGCTGGTGGACAGCCAAAAGTTGCTTCACAATGTAGATGGATAATCACTTAGTTCTTATCACACCATGACACTGAAAGGCATTTGTGTACCTTCCTGTACACCATGACACTGAAAGGCATTTGTGTACCTTCCTGTGGATGACTTGGTTATGATTCATTTTTTTGTTGGGGGGAGTATGGCATAGCAATTCACTTAGGTCTGCACATCTTGTAAGTATTGGAACAACACGGGACTTGTGTAATAGTTGTCACAGTACAGTAAGTGTCCCTTGCCAAGGTATGATTGTACATCCAAAAAAAACTCTTCGTTCATCTAAAATAAATTCAGCAGCCAAGTGTATGGTTATTTCTATTAAATCAATTTCACCAGAGTGGCTTCATAATCGATATTACTACCACTTTCATTTCTCTCATTGAAAACAATATCTTCAATCTGGTCATGGGTGACAGAGTGATGTGTGCAACTGAGGCTGGGTCATGTGACCTACACATTAGTGCAAGTGGGCCAAGATGAGATGTGAGATACGCATTTAAACAGAATTTAACAATCCCCATTCATTTCGCATGATAATGAAGCTCAAAACTCTAGAACGTTTATAAACGTCCATGACCAACAATGCCACTCATACATAGTGCGTATACTCATCCGTGAGCACCGAGGGGTAAAGTTATAAGTATTGTTAATCTCAGTTTTATAGTGTTCACAACTTAAAGTGTTAGTTTTATTTGAACCATTAGTGGGTTCAAAACTTTGTGTTCACAAGTATTCCAACTTTGTTTCATCTCCTAAATCTTGATTTAATTTCAGTCCATAGAATCTTTAATAGATTAGGAATATTAACCATTCAGTATTTTATTTTAACTAAAAATATCTTTCTTAAATATTGGATGTATGTATGTGTTAATGCCATACAGAAGATGAATTGTGTATTACAGGCATACCTAAACCACAGTGGTAATCACTGGGTGACAGATCCTGGCCACCCACACATCCAGGCTGGGAAGAGAGCCATATACATGGCTTATGGGGTAGATCCAGACATGACCAGGGATGGCTGTTCCATACCAATCATCCTCACAATGCAGGTGTGCTTGTATGTACAGGGTATATTCTTATTAGGTACAGAGAGGTATTTTGTACTGGGACTTTAAATAGTTGGTAACATGTTAGAAAAAAGGATATGTTACCCATTTTTTAAGGTTCCCATGCAAAGTTATACCTGTACCTAGTGATATGTAAGGAAAGTAATAGGTGCACTATGGTCCTCAGGCTAGTTTCCTCCATGGTGGTCGTTGTTGGATGTCGGACACTAGCCACCCCAACTATGAGGCTGGGCGGAAGGCCACCAAGTTGGTTTACAAGGTTGAACCAGACATGACACGTGAGGGAGGGTCAATCCCTGTCACCCTGGTGCTCCAGGTAAAGATTTGCTGTGTTAGATTGTGGGTCATTGCAGGTAATAGAGCTGGAGGGCAGTTCTCCAGCTTGGAGTGCAGATCCAAGCCATGGTAACTTCCAGGCTGGCAGGAGAGCCACTCAGTTAGTATATGGGGTTGAGCCAGACCTCACCAGAGAAGGTGGCTCAATTCCTATTACAATAAATCTCCAGGTGAGTGTTAGTAATTATTTCACCTTTTTATTAGAATGTCAACCATTAGTCATATGGCTACTCTCTTTGTTTACAGTAATTACTTCTCAGTGTGTTATATCTATTTTTGTAAATTATGATAATTTCCTTCATTAAAGCACTTCTACTTTCCAAAATGCCAGTGAAATAATGCTGCATTTATTATAAAAAAAATTTTCATTAAGGATACACTAAAGAATACAGTTATGTATTGCTAATATTTGAATGTTCATTTCGGTTACCGTGTACATTATAATGAAAGGAGTACTGTACCGGTAAATATAAAGTTAACTGTTTGAAACCATGCACTGAAAGTACTAGTGTAACATTTTTATTACCTGTAAATGTTTACTCAGAGTAATAAGATATTTTAGTTCATGAGAGCAATAGTAATCCGTATACTGTGCTGTACAGTAAAACCTCGCCAACTCGGACTAATTGGGGAAAAGGGCAGTCAGAGAAGGCCAATTATTCAAGTAGGCTAAGAGTCCAATCTAGGTCTGAGATCTGAGGGCAATTTAGTCCGAGATAGGAGGAGACGTCCGAGTCTGATCTAACGTTTGAGAATCTAAGGGTAATAGTCTGAGATGGAAGGGAAAGTCTGTGTCAAGTATCTTGAGAGATTTCAATACATAGCTATTATGTACAGTACCTGTATAACAATAGGAAAGACATTTTAAAAATAAATATTATACACTTTGCACTAATGAACACTTAGGTGAGACTGACAAACAATGCCTGGGAGATGTGGGACCTCTGCAGTGCATGGGAAGCTTTGATAAGGAAGTCTTCACATGCACCTGACTACACAGTGGATGTGAATTCAGCACTTGACTATATACCCACTGATCCACATCATCTCCACCAAATATCCACATTATCTCCACTGAAAATCCACAGCATATCCATTAGAGTTACACTGTATATCCATTACACAATCACATCATATCTACTACACTACCACTTCACTTCTCACTACACAACCTGAGAGTTACTCATGCCACATACGTACGTCAAGACTTGAGAAATTTCAAGAATTTTCATTTGCAGCCGAGGAAGCTTTTAGAACCTTTAGGGAGACTTACACCCGCCTGTCCATTTTTTATGTTGTCAGATGGATGAAAAAGTGTCTTGAGAATTGTGGGGGTTCAAATTGGCGAGGGTTTACTGTACCTGTATTGCAAATATTTCCCAGGTGGGAGAATAAGTACAGTAGTAGGTTTTTTAATATTTGTGCATTAGATTTTATTTAAAAAAATTTATACAGGTATTCTAATCACAAAATCTGGTCTTGGTCCCCCTTAGCTTTACTGCAGGGTGGAGCTTATGTGATTAAGTTGCTGTGTTACAATATACTGCCCAGTACAGTTTTAACAACTTATACTGTGTACCAAATGGCAATGGGTATTAACGTGGAGGTCTTTTTGAGATATGTGTCGCTTATAACATACAGGATGATGGGTTTTCATATACAGGGTATTCTCCTTATGCTAAAAGTGAATATTTAATGAGTTGAAAGACTTGGGTTGTCAGAAGTATAACACAAAGGCCTGGAAGATAGAAGACAACTACTAACTCATTAAATGAAATGCTTTATTTTGACATTATGATTATAAAGTAAAAATGGTCAGTATAGTACATTTACCCTAAAGAAGCATGTTTATATACATCCCCATTCCTCTTCTCTTCAGTACTTACCTGTGTGTGTGTGTGCGCTATTGTGAATTCTGAGTGCAGTAATTATATTTTATAGGAGGTGACTGGAAAGAATGTGATGCTGCTGCCCATGGGAGCTTGTGATGATGGAGCTCACTCCCAGAATGAGAAGATCGACATAAGGAACTACATTGAGGGGGTAAGTAATGAAGAGGTGGGGGGTTGGATGCCATTATATAGTATTAGAAGTTAAGATGATTACGTGCTTTGTTAATGACACCAATGAAATAATGTAAAAAAAAGAACTAAACTTAAATATGACTTTTGGTATACCTCACTTGGCATGTGGATCTTACCTACAATTATTTGTGGGTTGCTGATTTAGAAAAATAAATAAATAAACTTAAATACAGATATTTAGATGTGGTGATTGTTATTAAATTGAATTCCATAATTACAGTGTAGTTTCATAACTGAAAAACTTCATTTCATTTACCAGAATTACAAGAAAATAATTGTTACAAACATCCAAATGAGGGACGGGGTTAGTGGTGCCACTAACCATTTTCTGTCTAGCAAACCTTATGCTGAAACCAAAACTGTATTTCATTTTTATCTATCAGCTGTTATGATGATATAGTTTTCTGTAGTCTAACTGGCATGGTACAGTACAATCACCCAAAAAAGTCGTGTCGCCTCTCATCCTGAACCATGAACCCCGAGATTCAGACTCTTGAATCCAAAGCCTTTATGGACAGACTAAAGGCCCGTCCACACGATCGAGCAGTGCCCGGCGGGCACGCGCTAAATGCCCGTTATCGGGCAAAATTGGAGGGCAAACCAGCGGAGCGCCCGTGCCCGTCGTGGAGCGAAATCATGGTCCGCCTGCCTGGTGGTTTGCTGCCGGATATAGAGCGACGACTCTGAGTACTGCAAATGTGATACGTATATGTTCCCCGCTCGGTCCAGATGTCCAGTGTATAACCAAATAAGCTTATGCAATGTACATTATTGTCGTGACAATAAACGGGAGATTGTTTATGTAATGAGGACATTCGTGTGTTCTTCGTTCCTGCCGCTCTCCTCACTCTAGTCCCACAGCTTCCTGTCTATGCATATCATAATTCTACCATTATTCAATGAATTTTTATGTACTACAAATCTCACCTGCAAGTAATCTTCCTTGAGTACTTCATACATGGCTTGACAAGTTGCAGGTATTATGCGAGACAAACTTTGTTTTGATATCCTTGTTCTATACTGAAGTGATATGTAGGTGCACCCAGTTGAAAGATATATGAGTGTTGCCTCTAGACGAGCCTCTGCAGATATACTCTCCCTCATATTGGTATCCTGTTTTTTTTTATATATGGTTCCACTTTTGCTAAAAGTTTGTGAAAGGTGTTGGGGTCCATTCTCATGTAATTGGTGAAGTCTTGCTCATGTCCATCTTGCAGTTCACGTAAAATCGTGGCATGACTTCCTAATACTTTTCTTCGACCTAGCCACTTTTTGCACCATTCCCTTTTCTGCATCTGATTCTTCTTTTTGCACATAGCAGCAATTATTATAGTCCACAACGCTATGCTCTTCGCTTTAACTGTCCGGCGATTATTCCTGCGACACACCTTGGTGATCGTACCGCACCCGCCACTGCCGACCACCTACTAGCTACCGGCGCCCGACTATGACTGCTGCCAACCACCCCCGTGTGTACAACAACACACAGGATTTGCCTGGTAAACGGGCAAAGCCCGCCGGGCACTGCTCGATCGTGTGGACGGGGCTTAATGTATCAGTGTCTACTGCTTCGGGTTCACGAGTCTGAATCTCGGGGTTCGTGGTTTAGGATGAGAGGTGACAGGACTTTTTGGGTGTAATTCATGGGTTAGTACTGGAAGACATTAAATCATGATTTATAATTTAATTTATAAAAATGGAAATACCTGTACAATAATTAGTTAACTGCCGTTTAGCCACAAATTATGAATGTTACATTTTCGGCAAAATTAAAAAAAAAATAATAGAGGTACAGTACCTGTGAATTTAAGAACATGAATTTGTATTTTGCAAATTATGAAGACCACTGTATTACTATTAGTAAGCGCATAACACAAGATACTTAGTTCTAGTCTCAGACTTAGAATGGAATTTCAGGATCACTCTTTCTTTTATGTTATAAGATAAATCTTGTAAGCTTTGTTATTGTGGTGTTAATTTTTTTTTTTTTTTTTTTCAGACAAAACTTTTGGCTGCATACATACATGAGGTAGCCCAACTGTAACCAGTTATCACTGCTTCCCACATCTCCAGTAAAGGTGGTCATTACAGTTCTAACTAAAATATGATGTCTCTACTAATAGGAATTTATAATTTATTTGATTTAGATGTAATGCAGAATTTTTTCTGACATACTTTTGGGGAGAGAATTGACACCTATTGTAATCTAAATAATGTTGTAATGCTTCAGCTTATCAAAGTATCAAACTTTAAAGTACAAAAATCTTTGAGTTCCTGATTGCCACATCAATTGGTAGCAGGTCTTTAGGAGAGAGTTCCCACCACTACTATCCTGAAATAGTTTTTGAGGAGTAAATTTTGTAAGTACACCCTGTATAGTTGAGGATTTTGACATTTAAAATTGTTTCTTTTAAAACCAGTATAATTTCTCAATGGAAATACAGTACCATTTCCATAAAGTAAATCAATGTTTATAAAGGAGGGGTGACCCTTTAATAATTTTAATGAAAAGTTTCCTTATACCCTGTAGTTGATATACTGTATAGTATCACAAGAGTGTCTGCACTGGTGTGGCCATAGAAACTTTCACTTAGCCAAGACCACTCTTCAAACTTTGCCCCTTCTGAAAAATATTATCACCCAAAATTTTTAAATAACATCTTCCCTTGAAGAGAGTCGTCGTGTTTCAACCTGAGTTTTAAACTAAATGAGTCCTGAGGAACACCACAGTACAGTACTTAACGGGGTGGTGTGGCGGTGTTGTTTAACTAATTCCAATATTATAAATTAATTTTATTGGAGTTAGTTAATTTTACCGCCACACCACCCCGTTAAGTATAGTACTGCGGTGTTCCTCAGGACTCATTTAGTTTAAAACTCAGGTTGAAACATGACGACCCTCTTCAAGGGAAGATGTTTAATAATGCGGGTGTTTGAAATTTGTTGTTTTTTTTAAATATGTCTACCTCTCCCCTCATTAAAATACGTATTGTGAATTTGCCAATGATGTGGAAGGATATTAAATACTTCTCAAACTATGGCTTCTGTTTAATGTGCTTAAGGCCATTTTTCCTGTCAACAGAATTATCCATCTTGGAAGGTCAAGACAGTTTTCAGTATTTATTGTTCTTTGGTTATTACAAGAAAACAACGATGTAGAGAATTAACTTAAGTACATTACTAGAACTGGTCTTATAGATTCAGGTCAAAAGAGAGAAGGGTAGTGGTGAGTCTGTTATGGGCTTTGTGTTTCTTAACCCTGAAATGGCAACTATCGTCAATGGAAGTTAGCTGAAGGGACTGTGGCCATCATCGGTGTTTCATGTTTTTGCATATAGAGGCGGAGTAGAGAATCTTAGCCAGTTTAAGGGTCAATATAATCATTGCTCATTTGATTTGGACAAAGTGAGGTTGTCTTAAGCTTATTTTTTTACTGCTACAAAGATATTGTCAATTGTCACAGTTCAGTATGCAGAACAGGCTTATCGAAGTACCTGTAATATAAAATTATAGCTTTTCCACTTTTTGGAATTTTGGGAAATACAGTACATAAATTTATACAAACAAAATGTTTTATTATCCTCACACTGTTTAATGTATTATTGTGTTTTATTTTGAACACAAGATAACTAAACTATGATAGAGATTACCCAAGTTTTAGATTATGAATTAACAATTGGAGTTGTAATGAATTGAGCAAAATTTTAGGTAGTTGCACTTTAAAATATGTCTTCCAATTAAGAATTTTAATAATAATTAGAAATTAAAATATATTTACAAATACAGGTACTAACCTATTCCAAAGTTTTATTTTGATAATTACCAGGTACAGTACTTGCTGAAATGACTGAATAATTTTGATGTTTTCCTGTTATTTTGAGTGTACAGTAGTTAGATATTGATCTACAATTTGAAGAGAAAAGGTGTTTTGAGCCCAAAAATCGCTAAGAATTACCCTTTGGTGGTTTTGCTCAGAATCTCGATATAATGTACTTACAACTGTACTCCTGAACATGCTGACAGACTAAGGATTTTGGTTAGCCTTAAGTAACTACTATGAATGGCCTTAAAAATTTTATTCTGGTTGAAGCCAGAGGATTTAATTCAGCTGAGGGAAATCCTTAGCATTCAGAGGGTTCCTATCTTTATTAAAAATGATGAACCAATAAGTACTGTACAGCAATTTCATCCTGTAGGACTTCATTTGAATTAAGATATCGTATCTTAATTTCTGGCCTTATAGAACAGGGTGTGTGGTAAGCCAAGTGACATAAATGAAGGGTTTATGGGAACTCTGGAGGCAATTCAGTACAGTACATGAGTTGCCCAATCCATGGTGGTTAAGTAATGAGTTTTCAGCGAGTCCTTTATTTCTACAATAAACCATCTATTAAAACAACAAAAACAGAAAATTTCACAGAATTACAGTGATATCCCTGTTAGCTGGAATAATTGGTCCAGAGCTGTTCCGGGGACGAGAAACTTCCGGGTAATGGGACGATTCAAACTTGGAAGTATCCCACATCCCAAAATTTATCCGGTTACCGAGGTAAGTTTCTGAGTCTAAACTACGTAACTTGCATGGACAGACACTCGCATATCCCTGGAATGTTTCCGGGGTAAGTTTTCCGAGATTCTAAACTACACAACAGTGCTGGGGAATATTTTCTGAGAGAATAAACTGTACGCATCTCGCACGGACAGACACAGTGCTGTACAGTATTTATTTATGCAAAAGCCATTGTACATGTACAATATATTTTGAATACACCTGTACAGTAGACCATTGCCATTCTGTAGGTAGTAGGCAGCTACCAAACAGGGAGGTACTACTACCTGGGAAGATATTGGAAGCATAATGTATTCTCTAATGGTAGACCCTGCTGCCATATGGCATCACAAAAATTGTGACCAAGTCCCAGGTTGCTGATCTGACTTTCTGCCTTATTTACACACAATTGCAGGGTCTCAATTGTTTTTCTTACTGTTGACAACACAACAGGTCAGCGACCTGTGCCCGGGTGGGCTAATCCCCGTAAAAAAAAAATCACGGGTTTGCGATTCGTGGTAAACAGATGGTGGCTAGCTTGTGAGCCTTTTCCCGCAGCGAAACACGTCACCCTACGCACCTTCTCGTGTGGTATTCTCAAAACTTTAGTATTTCTGTGTGAAATGGCACCTAAAAGACTGCCTAGTGGCAGTGCTGGTGGAGTGAAATGTAAAAGGCAAAAGTCGGTGATGACCCTGACAAAGTTGAATTATTATATAAGTTAAGAGGGGATGAGTGCTGCTGCAGCTGGTCATTTGTTTGGTATAGGTATACAATAGTGCACTAAGGTAGTAGAAGTTGTTATTCGCGGTTTTGCTTATTCACGCTATTCCTTGGAACTTTACCTCCACAAATAATAAGGGTTTACTGTACTGTAAAAAAAAATAATTACAAAATAAAAATAAACACAATAAAATGTATAGAGTACTCACCAGCAGATGCTGTTGCTTTGAGTTTGTGATGCAGGCAGGTGAGATGGTGATATGATACAGGATGGCCTGCTTTGTCCTGTGCCATTTGCTGTGGCAGCTAGTGCTAACTGTCACAGTCCTCTCCCTTCATGAAGGATACAGGCAAATCAAGAGTGAAACATCTTAACACTGTGTCCTGGTAGAGTAATGTACGGTACACAAACACTGTCCACTGTTATTCGCGGTTGCGTATGCACGGTGTTCATACAAACAATGTTAATTTACAGTAAAATTACACACTGTAATTACTGTTTTCGTTTTAACACTACTTTAATACTATATTCTTGGTGATTGTGTCCTGGTACAGTAATGTGCATTACTGCACAACACAAATTGTATGCATGCAAAAACAGCAACGAGCAGGAGGTCAACCTTGAAGAATGGCTGCAGACAATGAAATTAGTGTGCCCTGATGCTAGCCTTGATTGGGGAGGGGATAATCTGGGAGATGCATCAACCTATCATAGACATCCCATGCAGTTCACATGTTAGCATTAGCCAATTGCAGTGTTATGTAAGCAATCTTCCCACAGACGCACCCAGCACTGAGGACCCAAGAGCATGATGCAATCTTTTGTCACTCTGGGAACCTTTGTCCCAAGGCCTGGAGCAGAAAAATTTGGAGAGATTTTCTCGCATTTTTTTCAGGAAATTGCGCACCATTTTATTTTCAGAATTTGTTCCTAGATTCTGAACAGAAAAATTTGGAGTTTCCAGAAGTTTCTCAGAATTTTCCAGAAAATGTGCCTGATTTTCAACTTTGGAATTTGCTCCCTGATCCGGGAAAAAATGGGAGAGATTTTCCAGAATTTTCTCAGAAGACACACCTGATTTTCAACCTCGGAAACTTGTTCACAAACTGAATGGAGAGTTTTCCCGGAAAATTCTGCACCAATTTCAATTCTGGGTACTGGAGAGTTCCGGCTAACGGAGATATTACTGTATATTTTTTCTGTGGGAAAATGATACAAAAGAACTAGTTCAAAACAAATTTTTCATAAAAAACTTTGTACATTTTAACAATACCATATTAATGTTTTTAGGAATTACTCGTACTTGACCTAATGAATTATTTATAGAGAAAATTGCTTGGCATTTACCTTAGAACTATATTGTCACATAAGAACCAATCATGAAAATTTCAACAACTTTCTTTATGAAAGATGAGATATGTTCTATTGATGCTATTAAACTCATTATACAGTACTGTACTTACAGGTATAGACCATTGAAACCACATCTGCTGGTAGGCTAAGGGTAACATGGATGATCTAGGAAACTGGAAAATCCTCAAAACTGGTTCAGTCTTGGTCCTGAGGACCCTGGATTTAAGGGTCTATACCTGTAGTATACAGTACAATATTACCAGGTATCAAGAGCCTAACACAGTACTGTATATGTAATTGTATATTACAGTGGTCCCTCGGTTAACGAACACAATTGGTTCCACAGTCGGTTGTCAACCGAAAATTTCGTTAACTGAATCTATTATTTCAATGGGATACTGGGTAATTGGTTCCAACTCACAGAAAAAGTATACATACAAAGTATTGTATACCGGTAATAGAATAAAAAAACATTAAATAAAAACTAAATATACAGTACTGTACTGTACAATAATAAATAAAAAACAAAAGAATGCTGTATTTTAACTTACTTTGAGGTGTGTATGTCATATTCCCGGCAGCTTTGTTTACATATCAAACAGCTGATTGTACAAGCAGTTGATGATGACATGCCATATTCTTTACAGAGTGCATTGGCTCTAATGTCTTCACGTTTCATAATAATTTCTACACTGTATATTATCAATATGTTAACTAAATTTCAGAATGACCAATAATTTTAATGTAAAAATGCAAAAATATTCAAGAGACCAACAAACTCGATGTTCACTCCACTGTAAACAAAGTTAAACTGAGAAGCGTTGGTGGGTGATTCGATCAGCTGAAGGGCGCACAAAAATTGTTCCCTGTACTGTATATATTATCAATGTGTTAACTAAATTTCAGAATGACCAATAATTTTAATATAAAAAATGCAAAAATATTCAAAGCACAACTTTCTTGATATTTACTTCACTGGAAACGAATGTAAACATAGAACCAATTACTATATTGGCGGACTAGCCGATCAGCTGATGCGCACAACAAGGCGTGTTTCTTGTAAGGCTGTAGCTAATTGAAGTTTTGTTCGTTAATGGAACTGAAAATCCTTATGGGAGCTAATTCGTTAACCGAAATTTTGTTAATTGAACCGTTTGTTAATCGAGGGACCACTGTATTATAATACTGTACAGTACAGTATCTCAAAAAAAATATCTGCCAGGAAGGATCCGATGACTTCTGAAATGCTACATGCAACTCGTGATGTCCTGGGAAAGTTGGTATGCGTCGCTCTGTGGCTTACTGATCCTACTACATTTGGTTACTGAACATCATATTAACTACTCCATAATAAATACACAATACTATTTTACTTATGTTAAAATATATACCAAAGTAAATGCATGTCATAATACCTATCACCTGTGGGCTCAATGTTTCGCACAGTGTATGGACAGATACTTTTTTGAGATACTGTATATAGTCTTGTCTTTTGATCAATAATATTTTAGAAAAGATATAAACTGAATAAAAAATATTAAAAATGTTCCTTCATTGCACTAATCATGTCCAAATATATAACGATAAGCACCGACTGAGAATCAACTTCAGAATTAATAATAATAATAAGTTCTTTGCTGACCCTATAAGTTTTCCAGCGTAAACAAGAGACGTACTGATGTCATGAAGATGTGTGCAAGTGATCGGCAACCATCAAGACAAAACACGAAGACAGAAGAAACAGAGCAGGTGGGACAGAAGACAACAGCCGATACTCATGGTCTGAAAAAGAAGAAAACTTCAGTTGTGTTTACTGTTGTGGAAAAACTTTGAAATAAAAAAAACATCCAAATTAGAGTTAGTATACACACATATATTTAAACACTAAAATACAACTGACGTTTATGTCATTTGGGAATACTGTAACTTTATTTTAAATTATATAACAAAGAAATTAGTTCGTATACAGTACTATACTGTATGGTCACATTTTCCCTATACCATTTAAGATATATTAATTAACTATCATAATATTGTACTGTACAGTAAGTCCTCGTTAAACGTTGGGGGTTGCGTTCATAAAAACGCAATGCTATACGAAACAATGTTTAGGGGATAAATTTTCCCCATAAGAAATAGATAAAATAGGGGAGATATATTCATGAGCCTCCCTTTGCCCATGAAATACATTACATATACAGAAAATCATTGCCATTTCTATAGAAAATAGTATATAAATATATAACTAAGTTTGAATTGGTACTCACCGATGGGCAGAGGTGGTGGAGCCAGTGTGGTGGGTAGTGAAGCGGAGGAGGAGGGCGGTGAGTCACTGAGACTGCTGAGCTGAGAGAGCGTATCGTGGCCAGACAAGAGAGGGCGATGTGCCGTAAAAAGTAGTCCGTGAAGACGCAAAACGACGTTGTACCGAATCAACGGGACGTTTAACGAATTTTGGGTATCTAAAGATTAGCGATGTAGTACCAAAACAACGTTAAGCGGGCAGACGTTATACGAGGACTTACTGTACTTCCATAATAGTATATGAATGTATATAAAATAATTTAGATAGGTTAGTTTTTATAATGATGCTGTTTATTTATATTTTGTATTTTGATTATTCACATGATAGTCCTACTGTACAAACCTGTTTGAGTTTTGAAAAACAAACGTTACAGTATTTTGCAATTATCCTCACTTAGCATTCACACACTATGCATATACTGTACAGTATAGTTCAGGTAGTCCCTGATTTGTGAAGTTATGGTTTATGGAAATCCAAATAATTTTTTATCCCATGTGTTGGCTTACAAATGAAAAACCTGAAACAAAAAAAGTAATTTTCCCAAGTAGTAATGAAAATACATATGCTAAAAAATTACCACCAGTATGCCTATTTACTTGGGTACCTCTTTATTCTCTTAACATATGAACTAATGTTATTATTAAGTCTACAAATAAGCTTTTAGTGTACATGTACAGTACTGTATTATCATTTTCCTACAATCACCACATAACTTACTTACTCTAGCTCATGTGAAGGCAAGTAGACTCATCATTCAGCCAATTGCCTGATTGTCCAATTTCTTTTCATTTACGCTCATGTAATATGAGGAAAATAAAATAAAATTATGTGCAGTGAAGGTGTAGAATTTAGAATTGTAAGAGAATGTGTGGAATTTAGAGGTGAAGTTACGTTTGTAGGTGGAGCACCAGCTGACTGGACTGGTTGGCATATTTGCATCTCTTTGTGTACGTACTAACATTTTCTTTAGCCAGTGGCTTTAACCCCTTCATTGCAGGGATGCCACTCTTAATATTTTATTTGGCTAACACAAGACAATTTTATGCAGCACAGAGGGGAGCCCATACACAAGGGGTTAGTGGTCTACCTCAATGAACCCCTTCACTATGAGGATGCAATTTTTAATAATATATTTGGCTAATGCCAGATGATTTTATTCAACTCATAAGGGACCTTGTACATAGGGGTTAAGGCACCACTTTTTAAATATTTCAATCAACTCATAGTGAAATCAGTGTTACCATATTTTCATTTCCTCATAGATTGTCATTTGTCCTGTTTTCCATTTTATTTTTTTATGTTTAGCTCTACAGTATTAAACTATTTTATCGCTTGTATTTGAGGGCATTATTAAACAATTTAACTGCACTGTTCGTGCTACATAAGTAAACAAAGCAATAACTCATCAGGGGCTGACCATGGGATTTTCTTTTTGTAGAGAACAGATCTCCAATCATACACAGCAATGCGAGTCAATAAATTACTGTACAGGTACTTGTGCAATATAAATATCACTCATGCTGGCATGGTGTTACATACTGTTCACTTTATTTACAATCTTCATTGGCTTCTTCTATGTACTGTAGTAATATCCCTTATGGCTGGAACAGTTGGTGATCAATATATCTGGGTTCAAGAGATTTCTGGGTATTGAGATGAATCTTTATACCCGGAAAAAAATACACATTTACTTAATTTTTCTGGGCATTGGTGAATGTTTCCGAGTCTAAACTATGCTTCTGACATGGAGCACAGTTGCAAGGGATATGCAGCTATGCAGCTTATACTAGCTTGAATATTAGTCGTGAGGCTTAATTGCAGTCGGGCAGCCAAAGGGCTGTAATCATTTATGCAAACACTACTGTAAAAGGTATTTTGTAAATAAACAAAATATACTACTGCATACAATATACTGTACTGTACTCACCAACAGATGCTGTAATCTTTAGCTTGTGATGCAGGCAGTCCAAATGGTGATACTATGATGATACAGGATGGTCTGCCTTTGTCATGTTCACATTCCATACAAAGGTACTCTTTGATATGCTGGTTAAGAATCCAGGTTTACAAATTTAAAATTCGAGTAATTGGTGCTAATTAATGACCCTTGAATTAATGACGACAAATTAGAATATTTAAAATGCCAATTGTGTTATGCTTAAGTTTTATATTACATTTTTGTGCATTTTTGCATGAAAAGAGAGAGGCTTTAACATTTAAACATGCTACTTTTTATTTTCTAGATATTTACCTTACACTGTACCTCTTCTCTACCTAATGGCCATGCTGAGGGAAGGAGGCCAGTGGCCTGTGTTGGATCCTTCATTATTCTTGTTAATTTTTTCAACGACTATTTTGAAATCCAGTACAGTAAGTCCCCGTATAATGTCAGCCTGCTTAACATTGTTTCGGTACTACGTCACTAATCTTTAGATACCAAAAATTCGTTTAACGTCCCGATGACTCGGTACAACATCGTTTTGCGTTGTCATAGACTACTTTTCACGGCTCATCACCCTCTCTCGTCTGGCTGCGCTACGCTCTCTCGGCTTGGCGCACTATGTACCTCTCACTTGCGGAACGTCATAATATCCCCAAATGACGCCAAGCCAGTCTCTGTTACGACTTCACATCATTCGTGTGTGCTTAAGTGCTCTTGCTCTAAAACCTGTAATCTAACCAATAAAAATGGCTTCCAAGCGCCCATCAAGTGCTACTGATGCTAGTATTGTGAAGAAGCAATGTAAGACCATTGGCCTTGCTACGAAAATGGATGTATTAACACGTTTTGAAAAAGGGGAAGGTGCTGTGGACATAGCCGCTGTGCTAGGTCTAGCTCCCACAACGGTGCGTACTATTTGAACCAACGGGGACAAGATTAAGGTTAGTGCTGGAAGTGGTACTGTACTCCTTTGAGTGCAACTAAAACAACTCCTACTAGAAGCACTTTGATAGAAAAGGTGGAAAAGATGTTGGCTATGTGGATGGAGGATGCAGCATTGATGACAGTCTAGGCTGTTACACTGAGATCTACAAGGATAAAAAGAAGAGTACAGTAGCACCAAGCAGTCAACGCTGGATTCATTTTTTTGTCGCGGGACGGCAGAACCAGCATCTTCACAACAGTCTGCAAGCGCGGAGGAGCAAACAAGAAGGAGGAGGAGCAAACAGCGGTGGAGGAACCCCAGTCAAAGCAGGAGGAGGAGGCAGCCACAGTCTCAGTGACTCGCCACCCTCCTCCTCCGCTTCACTACCCACCACACACTCGCTCTACCACCTTCGCCCATCAGTGAGTACCAATACAAACTTAGTCGTTGTATATGTATGCACTATTTTCTATGGAAATGGCAATGATTTTCTATATATATATATATATATATATATATATATATATATATATATATATATATATATATATATATATATATATATATATATATATATATATATATATATATATATATATATATATATATAATGTATTTCATGAGGCAAAGGGAGGCTCAGGAACATAACTCCAGTATTTTATTTATTTCTTATGGGGAAAATTTATCAGCTTAACATCGTTTCGTATAACGTCGCATTTTTAAAAACGTAACCCCGACGTTAAGCAAGGACTTACTGTACTGTTCTTGATTCCATAGCTTGATCTGGTAGACCATTCCATAGGTCTACCACCCTCTATGTGAAGATATAAAGCCTTGTGGCCCAAAAAAAGGCCTGACCTATTACCATGTGTTTGAGCAATATGATCAAAACAAATTTTGTTCAAATTTCATACAAAGGGTCTCCTATACATACTGATCAAGGATCTCGGTTTAAAAATGTCAAATTTGAGTAGTGTAATTAGCATTAGAAAATGACTATTGAACTGAAAGGTAAAAATATACCAATCAGTAGGTTCTAGACCTATCTGTAGAGCTCCAGAAGATCAACATGAAGTTTTATGATTTGACCAAGATCTTAAAAATATATACCTGGACAGACAAGGGTAGCACTGCATGTCCTCATATATGTGTTGCAGAACATAACATTCATTGTCAGACAGTAGCATTATACAAAACCAATACAACTACATGATATTGCAGCACACATGCTTCAAATGTAGAAACATCTGTTCAGGCACTATAGAGACAAAAACCGGTTACCAGGTAATATGGCATTATAAAAGCATAACACATAATGCAAGAGCATATCTTTCTGAATTAGTTGAGGAAGACTGAAGATAATGTCAAGAATGGCTGATCCTGCCCTAAAACTGGATAGGAGGAAATAGTTACTATAGTGAATATGTGGCACAACTTTCCCAATTGCAATTAGAATACCTGTACATCACTGTCTTAATACCTTGACTTTGACAAATGCTATAGTACTGTATATACCCCATCCCATTGTTCTGAAGATTTGCTCTGGCTACCCTGCCAAATAATGAAACAAAGGCAGACAGTGCTATACCAATATACACTCTGAAAACTAG